TGATCTCATGACCCTGAGATCATGACCTGAGCCAAAATCAAGAGTCGGACTCTTAACTGACTGAGCCATCCAGGCACCCCTATTCTTATTCAATTTAAGAGTCTCAGTCCTCTTCCTTAGGTTCTACAAGCCTACCATCCTGATTGCCAGACAAAGGATGGCTGTAGTCGGAAGAGAAACTCTTTTGGAAGAAAGAATAAGGCCAGAGGGTTGGTTATATGAGGACATAAACTTCCTGGGCATATTTGCTTAACTCCTTCCTTGTATCAGGTCATGCTAAAACACTTTCGCTTGTCGGTTCCACAACTAGGTAACAGAGTTGATACCCGTGGAGAGAGAAAGTGTCTCTTCTCTTTTTTTCAACTTGCTATAGAAAATGTTGAAGAACATGAGGTCCAGGAAAGATCCCTGTGTAATACAATAGGAAAACCAAAGTTGTCACAGACCACGATACGTGGATTTAGAAGAGCACCTGGCCCTTCCTCATTTTTAAATACTGATAATATGAGTTGTGGTTTCTGTACCTGGGTAGACATCAGAACTACCTGGTATGCTTGCTAAAGACATAGAGTATTCCTTGCTCTCCACCTCTCCTACCCTCCTTCTCACCTCTACCTCCAATAACCTGATCCATTAAGTCAGAGGTAAGAACTTGGAATCTGTATTTTTCATAACACTGGGAATCAGTGCCTAAGATGATTTATACATGAATTGGTGAGACATGGACTTGATAATTTAGTAATAATAAAACTCTTATTTTTCTAAATTGACATTGAAAATGATCTTATTTGAAAAGAAGATCCAATTTCACTTAATAGCCTGCTTTCCTGAGTTCTGTTGAAGTCAGATGGGGAGAAAGGGTTAAGAGTAATCAGTCATTTTTAGCTTGTTAGACTTAAAGAATCAGAATTTTCAAGCTGGAAGAGATACTAAACATATACTCAGATTTCTTCATTTTGCAGATAGGGAAGCAACTCCTTCCGCATAATGAAAGACTGGTGAGAACACTGAGCTCCACAGACATCATGACCTCCCAAAGCAATACTGTTCACTAGAACAAAATTCTCAATTTCCACAATACTTGATGGTTCCTTTACTTCTTTAATAATCACCCAAGTGGTTTGGATCTGCTTCTCACTTTTTTTATTTTAATTTTTTTAATTGAAGCACAATCAACACACAATGCTACGTTAGTTTCAAGTGACTTTTTCCTCCTTTTATGGCATTTAAGCTAACCAAACTAAGTGGATTTGTTTTTTTAACAAACAAACAAACAAACATGGGCATAGTAACTGTATGCAGCATCCTGCTCATCACATACCTCTTAGAACCACATTTTGAGAATTAAACGAAATCTTACCTTTAAGAGGCACCTTGACATCAAGGCCATAGAATAAAGGCAAGAGAGAAGAACAAGAATAGAAACAGAAACTGCAGAAGAAAAAGAAGAAGATTATGTAAATCTGAATTTCTGTACTGTCATTCATGTCGTACAAAACCTCAAGCTTTTCCACTTTGCTCAAGTCTGACCACTTGTCACATACACACCAAGTACCTTCTGTTTAAAAAAAAACTGTATATTTTACTTATCTATTGGCAAAGTAATGTGATGAAAACCCGGTGTCAACTAACATCAGCTCATACATTTTGGAATTCTGAGGGGGTCTAATAGATAATGGATTTAAGCCTGTAACTTTATAAATGAAAAAAATAAGCACCGAACAGTTAGTCAATAGTCGAATTGCCTGTAATTTTATGGCATAATAAAGCCTGGAGGTTCGCCCTCCCGAGTCCTACTTCAGCCCATATTATTGTCGCCTTTTTAATGTGTGGCAGGGCCTACCAAAAATACAAAAATATGATCAGAGCATACACTTAATCACGTAAGGCTATCACTGTTTGGTTAATGTGACAGGTTTTAGGAGTAAGGCAGAGCAGGAAGAATATTAATATGTAAGGTAAACATACGATAAATCATCCACCGTGGGATATTTCTGAAGTAGAAATGGGGGCACTATTAGTAATTACATCAGGGTAGCAGGCATAACCTGGGTCTGCCCTGGATGAGTGAGGATCTATAGTATAAAACGTGCTTGGACATCAGAGGACACTTTGGAAAATGAATGCATGATGCTGTTCAAATCTCCATGCTTCTCAGAGAGTTCTCTCCTTTTTGACTCATAGAAGTTAAACGGAGACTGATTTGTCTCTCTTCTCCGAGAACCTTCAACAAGACACAGATACCTGGGGGGACAGACATGCTTATGTAGCAATGGTATATAACCAACTGCCTACGAATTATTAAAGGTCACAAGTCAGATCGTTTTGTTTTGTTTTTTTCCCAAATATCAATTTCCTTGGTGATTGACTCTTACAGAGTCCGTCTTTAACCTTGTTATCACACTTCGGGAGCATTCTGTTGGCCACGACATCTTTGAATAAGGGTTGTCTACGGTATTCTCATGTTGAGCACATTATCTGCATGTGTCCTGTAATGCCATAGTTTCTAGGACTCTTGCTTCACTGTAGCAAAATTGCACGGTCAAGTTCTAAACATGGTGCCAGGAGCCATGTATTGGTGACTGTTCTACTAGTCTGGAAAGCAGAAACTCTGACCTTTTTTTTTCCACTCCTTGAAGATGGAGAGTGGTAAAATGACGCCCGTAGCCGGAGAAGATGGAGGGAATGGGAGGCTTCCGCTACTCCTCTGAGGAGGTCAGCTACCGGCGCTACCTCTCGGGGCATCGGGAGACGCCGATCACCTCGCTGGCAATGAGATTCTTTGTCCGGGCAGTGTGGTGGGCCAAGTGTGGCACTTAGCATCAGACACCCTGACCTCTGGGCTTGATTTGCCACGGACTGGTTCTACGGTCCTGGGCCAGTTGTTTAATCTCTCTGGACTGTTGTTTTATTATCTGCATAAAAGGGGATCCGAGTATCTGCCGTGCCCGACTCAGAGTAACTCTGCATGGGAGCCCATGAAGCCAGTGACCGTGGGAATGCTCGGGATGAGGCACCGCTGCACGGCTGGGGCAGTGCTGTCTATGGTTGTCATGTGACGGGCACTGTGCGTGAGGGGGTTAGGGACAGAGAAGGTATCTCAGGTCCCCTCAATAGGTGTTCAAGTACCCCAGGAAAAGAAAGAGGAGTATTTCTGACATAGGTGATCTTTAGCATTTTTTCTAGGCTTGTGTGTGAGAATCAAGGTCAAGGGCATAGAAGGTGTGTCACAAACCTCATCTCTCATTCAAATCTCCAGTCAGAAACCAACCGGTTGTTTTGAAGTGGCTTAGTTTACTATTATATGTGGAATATGCTGCTTTGATAGCTGAAGAATCCTTGTTTGCCATTACGTACATTACCCCATCATCATAAATGTTTAAGAAGTTCAGATCTGTGACATGACAAATTCAGGAAATTCTGACAGGGAACATAGTCTTAATCTCCCTCCTCCTAAAATTTCCATGAGGTTTATTAAGAAAATGCCTAGGGGAGTGACATTAATAGATAATTTAAAAAAATCCACCCCCTTTTCAGTTTGTTTTTCCTTAGATGAATGGGGACTGAACCAAACTAAAGTTTCTGGTTTTAATTCTGACTTCCTCCTTCAGTCAGTACAGAAAATGACTAGAACCAAGAGTTAGCCATTCAAAAATGTGGAAAATGGAAGATATCAGGCATGTGCTTTGACAAGCAGGGAAGCTGGGAACAATCCTGGCCTCCTGTGGGTCTTCCTGCCAAACCCTGGGAAGTCAGACTCGGTCCGTGGCACTTTACCTTTGCCTCATTCAGTCCCATAGCGCTAAATAGCACACTTCGGACATGAGAACCGTTCAAATTTAAAATTTTGAAGAGGATGTGTACTTTCTGTTTGGAAATTTTAAAAAGTACACTTTTTAATCGAACACCTCAGAGTTTTGTCATTTTCACATAAATGACTTCATTGGCTCTTCATGGAACCCATGAGAGGAGGTAAGGGCAAGCTTTATCATCCCTATTTTATCGGTAAGACTTAGACACAAGTCTAAGTCACATACCAAGGTCAAATAGATATGGAAAGACCCAGCCTACATAAGAATCCAGGTGCTGATGGTGTGGCTACTGGCCCCTACCGACTCCCTGTGATCTCACACTTAGGGAGAACTAAGAAGCAACCGGGATGAATAAAGTCCTAACCATGTCTCAGAAACGGCAGATGGTTTGCTGTTTTCGTCTTGGGTACCCACGGGAGATGCTAGAAAATAGCTATACTCTTTTGCAGCACAGGCATTCACACTGGAACTCTAGAGAAGCCTCTTGCCATCCTTGCTGTGTTCCTAGCACTGGTGCTCTGGGCATCACGGGTGGGAGAATCCTTTGTTGTGTGAGACTGTTTGCCTCACTGTAGCTTGTTCGGCACCCCTGTGTGAGCCCTCTCCCTTCTCCCGCCATGCACATTCCCAAACGCCCTCTTTGAGAATTACTGTGCTTTACCCCCGAAGTGTTGCTTGACTTGGAGGACTCTCTCCGGCCACTGGGGGAAGTGACATGGGGGCATAATTACCACGTGTCAACCTAAGTTTCTGGACTTACTGTTGAAGGGACACTGCAGCTCAAGGAAAAAAGGGCTTTTTGTGAAGAATAACCAGAATGATTTTTTTTTTTTTTCAAAAAGGTACCAAAAAGATTTTTAAAAGAAAGAGCAAAGTAGAGTCACAAAACTCAAAAGAAACTTTTAGAAAGGAAGCGAAGGTAAGAAAGGGGAAACTGAGGAAAGAAAACACACGTAGAAAAGAACAGAAAGCAACACAAAAGGCAAACACGTCCAGGCGAGGCTGCTGAAGGCAGAACCTTTGCTGAGACGCGGGTGTCTGCCTGGTGGTGAAGGTCGTGTGACTCTCACTACACCTGCCTGTGATACACAGTGTAACTGAGAAGAAATGAAACGCAGGGAGTGAAACTCCTATTATTTTCTGATCTAAAACTTCAAGACTGAAATTCATATTGAATTGAACACGTACCTTTTCTTCTAAATCCTTTATCTGTCGTTTCTGGATGTCTGTTTTATCTTCTAAGTCACGAATTCTCTGAAGAAAGAAAAAAAAACCCAAAGAATTAGTGGGCGTTAACAAGAAGACTGTTCACCAGCCTAAAACACAGAACTGGCCATGAAAACGCTAACATTAGTACTTGCGGCTGGAAATATCACAAATACGTTTTTCCATCTCCGGGAGATTGTCTGGATGTTTCAAGATTCAGGCTCACTTGTGGTGCAAAAGCACTGTGCTAACTATACATATATTTTAAAATCTGCTGCCCCTGTCTATTGCGCCCATCCCCCCAGACTCTATCCCCGTGAGAGATGGGTAGGTCTCACCCCACTGCCCTTGGGCTTGGCCATGAAACCTGTTTGACCAGTGGAATGTGAGCAGGAGTGAGAAGTGGGAATGCCACTTCCTCGTAGAGACAGCAGTATGTCCCAGAACTAGTGAGCAAGAAACCAACTTCGTCGTAGCCATTTGGATTAGGATTTTTGGTTGTTTATTACCATAGTAAAAAATGGCTGAAGGTGACACACAGAAATGTAAACAATCCCGTTGTTTTTTGCTACCCTTTCTTTCCAACCTTATTTCAACTCTGCTTCGGGGTGGAATTTCATCACAAAACAGGATTTGCCAGTTCTCATAAAACCAAACACTTCACCAAACATTCCAAGGAGGGAAGTGAATAAATTAGAGGAAAACTAAACATAGCAAAAATAGCACAAGTAAGCCTAAAGACAAAAATGTTAGTTCCGGAACTGTCTCTGAACTTACCTGTCAACTATATAACAAAATTCCAGCAATTTAAATAGCACAGATTTAAAACCAACATTACATAGACAATTATTTGCAAGTGAAAAATAGTCTTCCAATTTCGATCTGGCAATCTAAAGGCCTTTTAGGTTCACGGCACATGGGTATACAGTGTAGGCTGGTTATTTTAACACCTCTTTTGGGAATAATCAGAAAATGGGGAATTGGAGTCTGAGAAGAAAACAGTGGAAGCTAAATGGGGTGATAATACAGAAAGAGAGGTTTTTATAATGCAATGTAGGGAGAAAAAGGGAAAGCTAGAACAAAGAATACCTGAACTTGAAAATCCTATCTCCCTTTTCTCTGAAACATTGGTTCTCAGCTGAGGATGACTCTGCCCCTCAGGGGACATTTGGCAATGTCTGAACATCTTTTCAAGTTAGTTAATTTAATATGAAGTATACAATTCAGTGGTTTTAAAATATTCACAAGGTGGTGCAACCATCATCACTGTCTGATTGTCTGGACATTTTTGAATCACTTCTAGGACAGTAATGGTCAGTAATCACATCTGGGACGGGGGTTGCAACTAGCATCTAATGGGCAGAGCCCAGGACGATACACAGGACAGCCCCCTACCACAATTATCTGACCAAATGCAGGGAGTGAAGAGACTGAGGAGTCTGCTTTAAAGGGAAGGGATAGATGTGTGTGCAGGAGAGGATGAGGAGTTTTGGTCAGAGAGACGATCGAGGCTGACCTTGAAATTAGAGGACAATGAATGCTGGGTAAGAGAATGGGCCTGGAAGCTAATGGTGTGGGTACATGGGAGTGATGTGTGTGCTTGTGTATATTTCCAGGCGCCAAAGCTACACAATAAAAGAATAAATTTGCTAGACATTTCCACCTTGAGTGTGCACATAATTCCTTGATATGTCTACTGGATGTGGAGGCAAGTATTATATCAATAAAATCATGGACCTGTAAGATTACTGCAGGGCCTCTTCAGCCATCAAGTGTCTGCTTGTTGGGCAACTTCCCACAGAGGACAGGACTTTGCTGAATGTAATGGGAGGGTCCAGACACCACTGAGTTCTTGATCTCAAAGAACCATTCCGATCAGATGGGGAGACAAAGTTGGAAACACAGGGAAACCCAGCTCAAGTAGAAAAGGTAAACGATGGCAAAACCATGAGTACTATGTTTAACTTCATCACCAATCTCTAGCAACCAAGGCAGTGTTGAGTACAAAGAAGCTGCCTCTACGTGTTGATTATGAGTTACTTCAGCTAATGTGTGCTGCATGTTCTATTTCTTTTTCCTTCCCATCTGCTTGCCATCCAATCCAAGGGGGATCCCTGTCAGATCCAAATCAGATCCCTTTTCTGCCTGGCTTATCTGTACTGCTAGGAAGTCCACCAAGTCACTCTTGTTGGCATCAGTACTGGTGTGACAGCTTGCAGCCAGCCCTCCCTGTTTCTAATTTAGTACATCCGTCTACAGCAGCTGTGTGCACTCCCAACACATGAAATCACCAGGGCAGTCCCTGAGTTTAAGGGGGAGAGGAGGAGCGGTAAGAATAAGGAAGATGCAGCTAAGCTGCACTCAGAAATAAGCCCAACTCCTTCAAGGTCCAACATGACTTAGGCCTTGTCTTACCGCTCCAACTTCACCTCATGTCCACTTCCTCTTGGCTCTCTCTGCTCCATTTTTTATGGCCTTCTCTCTTGTTTCTTGAATATTCCAAATGTTCCCACAGTAGAGACTTAGACTCTGTTGTCCCTATCTTCGGGGACACTTAGCCAAGATCTTTGTGTGGCTGGTCCCTGGGATTTTAGACATCTTCAGAGAGGCCTGGTCTGACTAGCCAGTCTAAAGAGGTGAATCCTCTATTCCTAGATTCACACACACATTGTATACTTTTCTTCATAGTACTCATGGACACTCTCTACATTGCCTTGGTCATTGTTTTTTGTATTGTTGCTTTGACCCCTTTCATCTGTAGTATAGATGAGAACAGTGACCTTTAGGTCTTTGTCCACTGTCACATTCCTAGTCTCTGGCACAAGCAGGCCCTCACTCAATATGGGTGTGAAAGAGTGTGTAACAGGGTACGCAGTATAGATTTTTTTTTTTCAATAGTCTGTACTCCATTATTATCAGGGAGAACATCCTAAGGGAAACAGATCTTAAACTGGGACTGGAAAAAATGAGAACATTTGGATAAATGAAGCAGACATGGAAGGGCATTTTAGGGTGAGTGATCAGGCAAACAAAGGCTTAGAGGTGGGAGTCATGGCCCAAGTGGTACCAGGAAGAGGTCTGCATGAGTAGTGAGGAAGGTATGCTCTGCAGACTGTCTCAGGTCAGCTTTCCAGGGAAGGGGTAAGCCAGCTAATGAAGGACCTGGAGAGACCGCATAGGACCAGACTCAACTGGAAATTGGGATCAAGGAGGCTTCTGAGGAAGAATGTACCATCGGAAAAGGTGAAAGAATCTGCAGTGATTCGCATGATGAACAAAGAGGAGAGCTGGAAGTCTTCCCCACAAGTGGGTCCCCAAGGCACACTGCTTATGATTTTTTATACCCCTTGTCAAAAGATATCAATTAGAGTTATTTTTCTTTGAATTAGTCTCCTGTGACTCCATCAGTAGGTCCTAAGCTTTGTAAAGGCAGGGTCTATGTGAATTCTCTATGGCATGGTGTTCAAAGTCTAGGAGGTGCATTTAAACATGTGACAGAACAAATGCATAGAGGATGGAGCCGGGTTACAGCAGAGGACATTTGGCAGAAGCTGGGCCTGCTGCAGTATTGAGAGGTCCTATAGATGCCTGACGTTACAAGTGTGGAAAAAATGCAACAGCTTCAAAAACATTTCAGGGGAAATGCTCAGATGGACGTAGTGCTATATTAACTCCTGGAGATAAAAGACCAAGAAGACTCCAGGGTTTCCAGCCTGAGTGCTTTGGGATATGGTAATTCTACTGACCAAGGCAGGCAGCCGGGGAAAGACGGGAGAAGTAAGGATAAGAATGTTTAGATCTGTTTCATATGTGAAACATTCAAACAGAAATGTCCCATGAATAGTTAGTGATATGCTGCTCTAAATTTACCTGGATCATATACTGATATATGACAAATTCTGGCCAAGGCCTTCTGGAATAATTCTCTCAGATCAGAACTACTGATTACAGTGGCAGGCAAAGAGTAAGAAATAATAACTAGAAAAGGCATTTTCTAGTGAACATTTGTTTGAGAGAGAGAGAATTTCAGTGGGAATCTCTGAGGCTTAGAAATATAACATAACCATCCGTTCAGACTGATAAAGCAAACAAAACCATGTCTTTCGGGAGTGAATCACCTTAGCTGGTTAAAGACTCAAAAGAGATGACAGCTTTTAATCTAAATAAATTCAGATAATTATTTGTACATCTTAGAAATAAACACTGCTGTGGTTCCATGGTACAACTCCTGATTTGTTGAAATTAATTAAATGCTACTGTAGCATAAGAAATTTATGCAGAGGACACTTTCATTCCCCAACTAATGATGCCAGGGAGTCTATTATTAAAGGATTTAAAAACCCTTTCCAGGGTCAAAACCCTGAACCTTATGATGGAATCTGAAGGGCCACTGAAACAAACATGCATGCATTCACCATCTCCAGGACAAACGGCTTCAGAGTTCCCCTGCTGACTTGAATAATCTGTCCGACTATAAAGATTCACAGAACTCCTGGCTACATAGGGGGTATGCTAAGTGTCATATTCCCCATAAACCGTTCTTATTGGTGTCATAAAATAACCTGTTCCTTTTCCACTCACCTTGAACTCTGAAGACCACATGATTCTTACTTCTTCTATAGTCAGCTTCTGAGTACCAAACACGACAGCCTGGCACTACTAATTTTGGAATTCTTTTGGAATCTGCTTTTTGACCAGGGCCCTAGTCCTCACCTGTCAAGCTAAGACACGAACTAAGAGTTGGAATTAAGAATTTGGGCTCTAACTTGAGTGTCTCTTGAGCCTTGCTGGTCTAGATGAGTCCCGCCAATCGTAGTTAACTCAAGCTGTGTATGACAGCATAGTGCCATGGTTAGATGCACCAGCCTTGAGTCATGCCCACCTGAGTGGTAATCTGGCTCTGGAGCTTGCTATCTGGGTCATCTTGGGCAAACTGAAGCATTCTTGTCATCAGTATCATTATCTCCTCAATTGGGATCATAAGAATACTTACCTCAGTGGGCTATTGTGAAGATTAAATGCAATGATGTAAGTTTAGTTCCTGACATAGCAAATGCCAGTAAGTAAGCAGCAGCTTCCAGGCTTTGTTGGTGTTGCTGTTTGTTCTGGGAATAAAGAAAAAGGCCCTTGTTCTCCTTTACCCTATTCAGATTATTGGATCAGGTTAGGTTATGGACTGGGGTGAGTAACAGGATGGAGGTATTATTTCTGTCCTGGGGAGAGTCTTGCTTCCCTGCATAAGGGAGCTAATCAGGATCCAGGAGATTCAAAGGGTATTTCATGACAAAATAGTTCCCAAAATGGCAGCAGTATGCAATGCTTCCGAAATGCCAATTTTCTTAAGACTGAATCATTACAAAACTGTCCTCCTGTCTCTGAGTCTAGGTGGAAAACAGTAGTTATTTTACTCTCTGAAAATAGTTTATAGCTCCTAGGCTTCTCCACACCCATACTCAGTACAATGTACTTAGTACTAAGTCCCATTTGCTTAGTACCAACCCTACACAGATGCAGTGACTCAGTCCTCACCTGATGGGCTTGCTGTAAGAGCTCCATTCTCTCCTGAAGAATCTGACAGTCATACTCTCTGCTCTTCCTCAGCATCTGCCGCCGTAACTTTTCTACTGCTGTCCTCAGCTCCTCTTGCTGTTTTTCACTTAACAATTCACCAAACTTGATAACAGTTTCTTGCTGCAGAGCATTGTACAAAGTAGCTTCTAGTTCCTGGATTCTCTGGCAAACAGAATTAGAAAAGTCTAACTTTGGAACTTAGCATTGATGTGTGGAATGTGAACAGAGACACTTGCGTGTATGGGGGAGGGGGGTCACGCACAATTGTAATCTTACAGGATCATAGCAATATGATAAACTTCAAAGCTTGTCCAGCCTAACTACCATTTTGATAATCCCCTTTGTAAGATTCCCTAAATGTCATCGAGCTAACAATATGTGAACTTCTCTGGTGATGGGGAATTTATTCTTTTTCTTGGGATCTTGTCCATTTCATTTTGAGGAAGTCCTTACTTTGTTATAAGAACTGTATATCCTTCTATTCCCAAATGTAGCTGAGAATTAATTTGGCCTCTCTTTCATTTGACAGCCCTTCAGACATTTAGACATCTATCATGGTGGCTGTACTTTTAGAAATAAGCATTGAAAAGTGACCTAAGTTGGAATACTTGAAACTAGAGATATATTTCATGTACAAAAGGCCACCTCTCTTCCACAGGACACACCTATGAACTTGAAGATGGCTGTACAGTCTCCACATCTTAAAATACAGATTGGGAGATATGATCTAAAAATGGCCTAGAGTCTTCAGAATTGGATTGTTTTTTAATACTCTGAGATTTATAGCTGCTTTAGCTATAAAATGCCTCCTTGGTCTTCTCTGTTTTAGATGAAGAGTCTACTGCTCCTTATATCCCAGTTATTTTTTTTTTAACATGCTTCAGAGATAGCAGCCCAAACCTACAATCTTACCCCCTGTGACTTTGACAGAGGTGGATGGTCATGCCTGGGTAAGGGGTGTTTTCCTAGCTCTTGCGCTGGACTAAGCAGATCTCTTCTTTTTAACATTAAATGTGGTTGTCTGAACAAGTACTCAGTCATGGTTCACACGAACACACAGATGAACCCTATCATGTGTAGGTGGAGAAGGCAAGGATAAAAGGGTAGGAAGGGGGGGGAGAGGGCTTCCTTCTTGATTCTCCAGGGACCAACTCTCATTTTCTCCTTTCCCCATCAAATGGTGCTCAGAATCTCTTACTCATTTTGGAAGGGAAGACTAATTCATCTTTGTTACAAGCAGGGGCTTAGTGCTTCACTCTTACCCCCAAAGTGACCCAGGCTACTTCCAGGAAAGCATTATAAAAACCTCTACTAACAACTCGAAATGTTCCTCTTTTAAGTTTGGTCTTTTTCTCTTAAGTTATTACTGTGAATTAATGGGGCGGGGGGAGGGGGGTGTGTGCAGCATATGGAAAGAAGACAGGCAAGTCATAGTCCAATATTAGGAATTATGTATTATGAGTTTGGTATGGGGAATGAATCAAATGTGCTCCTCAGTCAGCACAATGTTCTGTGGGAGAGAAAAAGGCACAGCCTATTTACCGAAGAGCCTTCCTTACTGTGGCTGGATTACGGTAGTGAAGGCCACAGGGTTTGGAGTCAGACCTGAGCACTACCTGCTTGCTTTGTCAGGCAGAATTCTTTCACTCTCCAAGCCTTCATTCTCTCCTATACAATATAGGAATAATCAGATTACCTATACCTCTCAGGGTTGTTGGGAGAAATATGTGAAGTAAAAATGTACATAACAGACATTTTAAAGGCTCTATCATTCTACCACTACATTAGGCTCCCAAACCATTGGATTTTATTTAATAAAATTTCTCTTTAATCCACAGTACCATCCAATCTGTCCTTCATTAAAGCATTTTATAATAACATACACTTAATTTTTTTAAATGAAGCATAATTAAAAAGTTATTATAACAGGATTATTATTATAACAGGAAAGAGGTAGGGATGCATTTGTTCTAAAACCGGAATTAGAAACCACTGAATAAATGAGTTTTATGTCGTGGTCTATTCAAGCACTTGGCATGACAAACGAACCAGGATGCTTTACTCTGCAATAGAGAATTGTGAACTCTCTGGGTGTCTTTAGTGCTTGCTGTACCTACCATATATGCTTGGTCGAGAGCTTGTTTTCGGTAGTCTAGTTCTTCCTCTAGATAGCCTTTTATTTTGCAGAATTGTTCCTATAAGAAGGGGGCCATAATGATAAATAGAAAGAGTCAATTGAGTTTACTAGCAAGTGATATATAAATTGTACTGATTAATGTTTTCTCGAATTCCACTGCAAGACAAGTCACTAGCATTTGTAGGGTCATAGATTTTGTCTGTTAGGGAAATAGTTCAACTTTAATAGCCTCACCCAGGGAATGTGAAAATCAATGGAAAGAAGTATAAAAGATACAGTGACCAATCCACATGGAATGCTTTAAAGGATTTTTATGCCAATCCAAAAGTACATGGTTAAGGACAGATTTGATTTTGACAAGGTAAGTTAGTAACTAGTAAGTATATCTGTGCCAATATATTGGGAGAGTCTATTTTTGTAAGAATGTTTAGGAATGCACAGTGGTATAATAAAACAATTATTCAAAATTATCTGTGTACAACTAGCAAACACAAAGATGGATAATGATTTAGAGAATGGGGGTGTCACTTAATGAGAGCACTTTGCTCCTGCCACAAAACCCGGACGAGCTGGGACTTCAACCTAAAGTTCCCACGCTTTTTTCAAGTTTTGTTTTTGTTTTTGTTTTCTTTTAAGGTAAACAGTTCTTGTCACATGCTTTGACTTTAGAGTCTAACCTTTTGGCAAAATAGAAACTCTGTGTAAAATATAAGCAAATGATGTGTGAGCTGTCACATACTATGTAAATACAAGTTGTTCTTATTATAGGATTCCCTAGCCTGATAGGAATCACTACCTGTTTTTTAGTAGTAATAATACTAATGACAGTATAGTTATAAAATTCTACGTATTCCCGTAAATTATAATCAACAATTCCTATGCTTGGGGATTTAAAAAAATTTTTAATTGTGGTAAAACACACACAACATAAATTTTACGCTCTTAACCGTTTTTAAGTGTACAGTTCAGTAGTGTTAAGGATATTTACATGGTTACGCAGCTAATCTCCGAAATGCTTTTCATTTCGCAAAGCTGAAACTATACCCCTTAAACAACAACGCCCCAATTTCTCTTCCTTTTAGCCCCTGACAGCCGTCGTTCCTACTTTCTAGGAGTTTGACTACTCTGGATCCTTACGTAAGTGGAATCATCCAGTATTTGTCTTTTTGTGACTGGCTTATTTCACTTAGCATTATGCCCATGTTATGTATGTTACAATTTCCTTCCTTTTAAAAGCTTGGATAATATTCATTGTATGTATAGACCACATTTTGCTATCCATTCATCCACTGATAGACATCTGGGTTGCTTCCACATTTAAGCTATGTGAATAATGCTGCTTTGAACATGGGTGTACAAATATCTTTTTGAGACCCTACCTTCAGTTATTTTGGGCATATACCCAAACGTGGTATTCCTGGATTGGATGGTAATTCTATTTTGAATTTTTTCAGCAACCACCACAGTACTTTCCTTAGAAGCCACACACCATTTCACATTCCTACCAGCAGTGCACAGGTTCCAATTTCTCCACATCCCCACCAACATCTAACTTCTGTTTTTTTGATAGTGGCCATCCTAATGAGCATGAGGTGGTTTGGAGATTTTTAAAATCAGAGTTACATTCATCATTTCTGTACTTTTTACTATGACAACATATGGTGGAAAAATTGTTTAGCCTAAGGAAAAAAACACCTAATTGAATTCTCTTCAGCATTAGTTTTAGAAATATTATAAAAAATACAACATATTTTTGAAGAATATAACTTGAACTTGTGGGATACTTCCAGGAATTTTGTTCCATAGTCTGTACACAAAATAATGGGAAGCTGCACACTTCCATCAGTGCCAGATAAAACTGGTAGAAAATGGTTGTTTTCCATTTGCCTTGTCAAGTTTTCTTCATTTTTATGATACCTCGTCTTTGTACTCACCATGTCACTTTCCAGTTCCATCATTTTCTGGTGTAGGGCAGCCTCAGCTCCTTCAATTTGCTGGATCCACTAAGGAGTAAACAAGACAAAACAGTCTACATGATCGCTTGAGATGGTGTACACCGTGCAGTCTACTGAGTTGTTTTGTCTCTTCCTCTCATATCTTAGGAAGCAGATGAGGACTGAAGTGAAAACTTGGTGCATTTTCTCTCTTAGTTCAGGAAATACTGATTTTCATTCACTCATTCATTCATTCAGCAAATGCATTCCTTGACGCCTACCACGTGTCAGGCCCTGCACTAGATACTAGAGTTTTGATGGTAAGACCCACATGTTTTTTTGCCCTCATTATACAACACCAGAGGAGGCTTTCCTGGAAGTGACAACTGCAACTGAGTCTGATGAATTCGAGTCCGAGATGATTAAGCAAAAATGACGGGAAGATTCCAAGCAGAAGAGACATCCAGTTCTCCATGGTTGGGGGAAACATGATGGAAGAAAGAAGGCCAGGTGAGACCGGAGAAATGGCAGTTTCTCAGTGTTTGAAACTGCCCACAGCTAAGTGTTGAAGAACCATTTTTGTTGAGTGGAGACATTTTAACCACATTAAAAAAACCTACCTTTCCTAACACTTAGAATATATCATCCTGTTACATGGCACTGAGGTTAACATTGATCAGCACCCTGAGTAAAATTAGATTTTGAATAATATGGCATGAGCTTACCACATATTTGGTTTAATAGAACAAATTATTATAATGGGTCTATCCCAAGTTAAACGTAAGCTTATCCCTTAGGGAGGCAGCTGGGCATAATAATCGTGGGGGTTCTAAAGGCACATTACCTTGGGTCTAATCCCAATTCTAGCTTTTCATGGCTTGCTTATCTCATCTAAGCCTCGACCTCTTTTCTATGAAATAGGGTTAATAATTTGAAGATTAAAGGATGCAATTAATGTTAGGCACTATTCACAGTGGATTGCATGTACAGGGTACCCAATAAATTCTAGTTTTTGGTTAACATTTATTTTTGTACTTCTACACTGTTAGAAGTTAACATTTATTTTGTACTTCTACACTGTTAGAAGTTTGAAAACTTGGTGCATTTTCTCTCTTAGTTCAGGAAATACCGTTTTTCATTCACTCATTCATTCATTCATTCATTCAGCAAATGCATAGTTCAAACTAGAGAAATGTCTAGTCTCACTACTAGACATTTCTTTTTTAGTTTGTGATAAATTATGTGATGCACTGAGCATTTTTTCTATACGCAAAGGCCTTGACATTCACAAGGCGACACCATGCCCAACAGCCTCTTAGGGGAAAGAAGAAAGAAGAAATTCCCCGGGGAGACTGGAGGGGCTACTCCCTCAGTTCTTGTACACACCCGTGGTTTCCCCTTGAAGCAGATTTCCGTCAAAAGTCATGGGTAAATAGCCTCATAATGCAATTGTATACCATCATGCTTTATTAAAATGCTTCCTTTCACTTGCTGCCCATTTATCATTGAGAAGCAAATTCTCTTCTAAACAGTGTTTTTAAGAGTACAGTAAGTTGAAGCAGTTCAGTCATGGGCTCCAGACATAGATTTGTGTGTTGACTCGAAGCCCTTATAACCTGTGATGCAGGACAAGTTACTGAAGCCCACATCTCAGTTTCTTCATGTGTAGAATGCAAAGAGTGGATGAATATAGGACAGTTGTCAACAACAAGGAGATTTGTGCAGTACCTGGCCCATAACATATTCTCATGTTCTCACTTAAGGTCACAGCTCTTATATATTTTTAAGACAGAGAGAGCACGTGCGCGCACACAGGCAGGGGGAGGGACAGAAGGAGAGGGGGAGAGAGAATTTCAAGTCAACTCCCTCCTGAATGTGGAGCATGATGCGGGGCTTGATCCCATGACCCTGAGATCATGACCTGAGCCGAAATCAAGCGACGCTCAACCAATTGAGCCACCCAGGTGCCCCTGCTCTTGCTATTTTTAATACAAAGTCACTAGAGGATTTACTTGTTGGAAATTTGTCTAGGTTCAATCTCTGGTTATAGTTTATATTCCTAGACAGCAGAATGCTATTCAAAGTTGCAGTATCAGAAGCTTCAAGGTTGACATTTAGAGTTCCTGGGAGATAGAAATGTTCATTTGTGAATCCCAAAGGTAGGAGGGGACTTTAAAACTTGTGAATTGTAAAGATCTGCACAAAAGGTAATTGCCCAGACTATGAGCACTTTGAGGACAGGCCTGTGTCTTATGCATCTGGTTCTTTCACTTAGATCTTCAGCGCTAAGCACACTGTCATCACTCTGTACATGTTCAACTGGAGGTAAATGGAGGCATGAATTAATTCACCAAAGCTCTAAAAGAGCAGGTCCTATGGGCTCCACATAGGGCACCTCTTGCTTTCAATAGGATGCTTAAGGGGAATTTGGGTGCAGTGGTTAAGAAGATCATGGACTCTGCAAATAGACTGCTTGAGTATGAATCAATCCGGATTCCATCATTTTCTAGCTGTGTGACTGGGGCAGTTACCTACCTTCTCTGTGCTTCAGATTCCTCATATATGAAATTCCTCACATAGAACAGTCATACCAAGACTTTGGCAATTAGAACAGTGCCAAGTGCAAAAGAAGCACTATGCAAGTGTTAATTATGGTCAAGTTCAAGCTGCACCACACGCCACACAGGGCAGGGAATGGAAGATTTTCTTCCAACAATCTAAGCAAATGCAAGGCACACAGACCTATTTTTCCTTTTCTTTTTTCCTATTCCTATTTTCTTTTCCATTTCCCTATCCTTTCCTTCATGTCCTGAATCCTTGCCTTTTACAGAAAGGCAAGTTTTCTTGGTATTCCTAAACTAAGGTGACTTTTCTTGCAATAAAGAATTGTAGCCCTTTATGAGTCCAACTGAATGAGACACTCTGGCTTTTGCTGCCAAATGACTGTAGCAGACCTGGGAATACAGACTGTGTTTTCTTCATCCAACTGGATGTCACTGGAACACTGTCCTGTGGACATTCACGATCACTTGTTCCTTCAGTAAACAGTTGTTGACCACCTGTTAGATGTGCTGGGCTATTGTGAAAAGCTAGGCAAACAAAGTGGAGTAAACAGATACCATATTTGCCCTCATGGAGCTTAAAGTCTAGCGGTAGGTGGTTGGGGGCGTATAACAACAGCAAAAAATGAGCAGCCCTGTTATAGTTGTTAAAAGCCATAGTAGCAGATGCAGAAGTCACTGTGGAAACACAGAGAAAAAAACCACCTAACTGGCCTTGGGTGAATAAGAAGGCTTCCCCACACAGGGGCATGTCTAATGGTTCAGATTTAGCCAGACCAAGGTAGAAAAGGAAAAAGGGATTATCTTCTAAGCAAAGAGAACAGTGCAAAGGACCAAGGGATGGTAACAGTGATAGAGATGGAGAGAGAGACAGAGACAGAAGATCAGGGCCCCAGAAGCATTTGTGTATGGCTGGACCTTTGCTATGGACCAAAGAAACAAGTGGGATCCTGGAGAAGCAGGTAAGGGCCAGATCCTCGGGGCCCTCATGGCAAGTTCTGGATTCTGGACGTTATGTTAGAGATAATGTGGTGCTATTAATTTGTTGTGGAGAGGGAGAGTGATACATCTGTAATTAAAGCATAAATTAAGTTTTTTATTTTATTTTTTTTAATTTTTGTTTTTATTTATTTATTTTTTAAAGATTTTATTTATTTGACAGAGAAAGACACAGCGAAAGAGGGAACACAAGCAGGGGGAGTGGGAGAGGGAGAAGCAGGCTTCCTGCCGAGCAGGAGCCCGATGCAGGGCTCGATCCCAGGACCCTGGGATCATGAGCTGAGCCGAAGGCAGACGCTTAACGACTGAGCCACCCAGGCGCCCTCTAAGTACGTTTTTTACAAAGCAAATCCCAGATATCATTTCACATGTAAATACCTCAGTATATATCCCTAACAGAAAAGGCCTTTAAAAAAAAATCCTTAATTCAAAGACCATTTTTATACCTTGCAAAATGAACATGAACTCCTTTTGTTATATAATTCCTGATCCATATTAAAATCTCCCCAGCCGTCAGCAAAGTGTCCTTTCTTCCACACTTGGTGTCCTTGAATCCGATCCAAAAAAGGATCATTTTACTATTTCTTAAGTAACTTTTTATTTTATAGCAGTCCTTGCCTCTCCCTACATTGTTTTCCCTTTATGTCATGGTATTGTTCGAGTAACTCAATAAATCATTTGACCTGGAGGATTCCCTTACTTCAGACTGGAGAAAGCAGATCACTTGCTTGTTTATGGTTTCATTTAATTTATAACAAACTCTTTATGCATTTAGGAATTAAGAAAGCATTTCAAGGAATTTATACAGTTGTCATTTTATCCAACCATGTACACGAGCCTCTCAAGTAAGTGCTGATTCTCGCGACACCCTGAACATAGCCAGTCATCAAGCTTCTCCACTTGGCTCTTTCCTTTGTCTCTCTCCCTACCATTTACCAGGTTTCGACACAAGGGGGCTAGAACACACTCAGTGTTGCTCTTCTGCCAGTCCCCAGGTTGGGCTTTCTGAATGTGACTGCAGTGAGCCACCACTGAATTACACAATCAGTTCCGGACAACTGGTGTGTATGCAGCCAGGGAAGAGCGCATAAAAAGAGCCAGGCGCCATTTTACCACCTCTCAACGAAACCCTTCTTTACAGCTGTCCCAGCTTGGGAGGGATTGTTTGGATAATGTAATCCAGAAAGTGTTCCATTTTTTAACAGACTACAAAGCAAGAATTATCCACCCACCCCAGATCAGTGTGTAGACTTTTCTTTTGTGTGTTCTCATTCTATAGGGGTTATATTACCCTGAAAAAAAAAAGATACTTATTAGGTATTCAGTAACACAAAGTCATGTGCAAAGAGAATGTCCTTCAACCCTACCCGGGTCTTTAGGTGTGAAGTCAGACATTGAGATGGTTTGAATGTTAGTTTGATATATTACCTTTTCTGCCAGGGACAGCACAGTGCTGGCCTGAATTATGGCCACTTGTTCTTCATTTCTTAAGTTCTGCCAAAAGAGAGGGAGGGAGAGAGAGAGAGAGAAAGAAAATAAGCTGAAGACAGTTACGATATTTGCACTATCTGCCTAACAGCCTGCCATAGATATTACTGCAGGTGCATGTATGTAACGTAACAGATGTTCTATTCTACTTAGTTCAGATGTTCTATTCTACGATTCTGAACAAAAAGTTCATTCGAAACATGTAAAAGGACATTAAATGTGATTTTTTTTTTAATATCTCTAATACTGACTTGCTTTTGTGTTTCACTGTGAGCATACTTAGCTAATGGTCAGGTTATGAGAAAAGCAGAAACCAAAATGAAATAACAAGTAATCTTTTCATAGTGGTTTGATGTGATTTAATTGATTCTCTTCTCTCCTCTGATGATTTTTCAAGGCAAAAAATTGGTGACTCCTCCAACTTATATGCATCATTCCCATAGTATCTCAATGAATGTTCCTCCCACTGAATTAATATGCCTTGACCCTGCCTGGAAGGTGTTTTTAGAAAAAAAAGAGATTATAGTTTCCTGGTCCATTTTTATGGGGCTGCCACCAACCCTACTATTTAGCAGCAGTTGCAACTGCATGACTGATTAATTTCATGCTAGATGGCACCAGGCAACAGAGAGAAGGTAATTAGCTTTAATCACTGCAGATGTGGTCGGCATTCAAACGTGAAACCAGCCCATGAAAAGCACTTCACCAGTTCCCGTTTCTGCCTTCTAGAGATCCTTACAACCCCTCAACCAACTTGTTTGATAAATGATTGATTCTCTTCAAGGAGCTACATCCTTAAGTGAACGTGGCTTCTCACTTGCTATTATTTTACACATGATGCCCTGGCAAGTATTTCTTGCCCCTCTTTGGGCAAATTCATATATTTACTGCCCTTAATCAATTCATTACTTACCCCATTATCACCCAGGATATCAAGCTGCTTTATGAGATCAGGGATGTTCACATCCTGCAACATCAAGGAGACACATTCAAATCAAAGACACAAAGGCGGCTTACTATTCTATCACTGCTTGACCCGTAACTTTGAGAAGACATTTTAAGACCCATACTTCCTTGGGTTGTTTTCAATCAGGCACACGTGGTTTTATGTTTTCACCCTGCTTCTTCCAAGTTGCGTGAACCTGGGCAGACTACTTAACAGTTCATTCTCAATTTCACCGGTTGCAAAATACCTCCTTCCTAGGCTGATCTTAAGGATAAAGGGATGGTATGTGAAAGAGTCTAGGATATAGTAAGGACTTGGAATTCTTTCATTAAAGTTTTTTCTTATTAATTGACAATTTTTTTGAATTATGAAAAATTGTAGGTATAAAGAAAAGTAACAAGTAATAAATATAATCAACTAATTTCATTCTAATTAATGGAATTCTGACCTGGCTGAGATTTTGATTGCCACATAGAAAACTAGAGTACCTTCCATTTTTTAGCATTAATTTCATGCTATGGAAAATAGCTCATTTTAACTATATTTCTTGAGTCAGTTTGAAGCAGCTGAACTCCATTTGAAAAAGTTCCCCTGCATATAAATTTCATCCACCAGAGTAGGTTGTTTGTGATTTATCTAAGAAAAGTATCTAAGGAAAAGACAAAGTAGAAGTCCTTTTCATTTAATTAGAGCTGAATAAAGAAAAAACCCAACAAACTGCTCTGGTTTACAAATTTTGGGGCAGCCCAGGAAGGACAGAAGTTTAAACACCCTGAAAGAGGTTTAGGATGGAAAACAAGGAAGCGCAATTTTACTACCTAATTTTCCTCCCACTTTTTACTTCATTAGTACACCTCTCTCCTCTTACTCACAACCAGACCCCTACCACCGGGAAGGGGGAGGTCTAGCTCAGTTTCACAGGTAGAGAGAAGGCAACGAAAGCAGGTATTATCTGGCAGCTCAGAGTGGGAGCAGGGAGGGCCATGCACAAGGTCAAGGAGAGACCAGGAACAGCAGGAGGCTTCCCAGCTTTCCCTGCGGGATAGAGACCCACCATGTGATTGCATTACGTTGAAGGACAATATATTTTCCAGGAGATGGGGCCACCTCCATTCAACCTTAATGTTTAAAATGGATCCCAATATCCCTAAAGACAGAATTACATTTTATCTAAATGAACAACATGTTAGAAATCATAAGTCCTTCCAAAAGAGAAATCTTCCCTAAATTAAACGTAATCAAAAGAGATGGTGGGCTAGATGATTTTAAGGTCTCTTCCACTGCCAAAATTCCAAGATTATGAATCCCACAGCACTTAAGTCAGCATAACAAAGGGACTCGACAAATATTTTTTTATCTGCTATACTTGAAATGTGCTTCTCAAAGTACTGATATTTTATTATTTAATATTTCCCCTAGATAATTAAGGGTAATTATCTTAATATTTTGAATCTGTATCTTCTTTACCCTACTCTGTTCTAAATAATCATGATTTCCTGTGTTCTCTGCTGTTACCATTCATACATCTGTCACACATCTTTTTTTTTAATTTTTTTAAAAAAATTATGTTAAGGAGGCTCCAACGCCCAACATGGGGCTCAAACTCACGACCCTGAGATCAAGAGTGGCATGCCCTACTAACTGAGCCAGCCTGGCACCTAGATGCGACTCTTTTCAGTTGCTACATAGTTGGTATCAAAATAACATCCAGTGACTGAAAAACAAAAGTGATCAATAACCTCCCCTTTTCCAATTCCCAGTTTCTCTACTTTTTACAAACACAAAAAATTGAGTATCTGCCTACCTTGACACCTTCTTTCATACAGTAGATCTGTAGAGCACTCACACCATCAGAGAATGGGTGAATTTGTAGATTAAATGGAGGGGATCGTCTCTCTCTTTCCTTGAAATACAGTGAAGAATATATGGGAATTAAAAAAAAAAAAAAGCAACAACTGATTAAACACTAAACCAGTTGTCTGTGCTCTCTCTTTATGCTATTGCAGTAGTTTATCAATGTCATGTGGCCAAAAAAAAAGAAACACAAGATGTTCCTGCTTCAATTTAATGGAAAAGAACTGACTGATCAACTAAGAGGTATGGTAGGAGAATTTACAGATGGTGTTATTCAGTCTTGCAAATTTTTTGGTCAGAGAAATGTTGGAAGTGAAGTTCCCATTTAAACTATATGAATATTTAGAGCTTTCAGGTGTCACAGAGAATGGTCTTTTGATCATGAAGTCTTATGGCTGCTAACGGCCTTTTGCATATTCAATCCACTCAAGTTTTACGATGAAGATATGTGAGCTACTAAAGAGGACTTCGCTCTTCCTCACTGAGGAACACCAACTGCTAACTCTATCCAGATCTAATTTGAAAAAACCTCAAAAAGAAACCCCTGGCAAAGTAACAGAGTTATCAAATGGGAAATTTTCTTATCTTTCGTATCCATATACATTCAGTCAGATTCTAAGCCAGATTCTTTTTTAAAAAAATATTTATTTGAGTAATTTCTACCCCCAATGTGGGGCTAGAACTCATGATCAAGAGTTGCACACTCTTCTGACTGAGCCACCCAGGCGTCCCAAAGAAGTCAGGCTTTTTCATTTTTATTTTTCTTAGAGAGGGAAAGGGAGTAGGGAGGGTCAGAGAGACAGAGAATCTTAAGCAGGCTCCACCCCCAGTGTGAAGCCCAACATGGGGCTCGATGTCAAACCTGAGATCATGACCTGAGCCGAAATCAAGAGTAGGACTCTTAACTGACTGAGCCATCAGGCACCCCTGTTTTTTTTAAATTATTTTTTTTAAGTAATCTCTACACCCAACATGGGGTTTGGACTCATGACCCTGAGATCAAGAGTCACATGCTCTACTGACCGAGCCAGCCAGGTGCCCCCCCCGGCCAGATTCTGTGTGATACAATTAAGATCTGATTTGACTGATATGTTTTACTTAAAAAAAAAAAAAAGACTGAAATTTGGTCAGGTTAACCAAGGTATTTCCTAAAACAAGTTACCTTGCTTCTTAGCCTTTTGCGTAAGTGCACTATAGATTAAAAAAGTTTACTCATGAATTCAAGTGTATAACAACATATTTTTGTATATAGCACAATTTGAAATATAATTCTTGAGGTAACATTTTTATGAGTCAGAATTCAATGAAGGATGGAAATGATTATTTTAAAGCTATGAAATATTGATGAAGTTTGAAATCTATTACGTAAATTATTTAAAAATTATTCATTCTTGTTCTTAAAGGCAACGGTGTCGAAAAGTACAGTAGCTGAGCAGACAATTCTTTTTTTTCTGAGCAGACAATTCTGACTTGCATCAGTGCTTTATCACTTATGGTCCCAGGTTTTGGGCAAGTTATTCAAGCTCAGTTGCCTCATCTCTAAAATCTTGATTATGGTTGTGAGGGTGAATGAGAGTAGGCATCTGAAATGCTTAATTTAGCACCTCACACATAGGATGTGTTCAGTGCATGTTAATTGTTACAATTATTTTTATTATCATTATTATCATCATTTCCTTACTTCTAGCTCTAGGTTTCGAAACTCCAGCAGCTCATTCTGGTCTCGGGCATCCTGTAGTTCTTGTTGTAACCGGTGATTTTCTGCCTCCTGTTTTTCTATCTAATAAAGTAAATCCTCAAGTTAGGTGAACATTGCAAAAACCGTCTACAATTTAGCAAAGCAAGCATGGAGAGCACTCATTTAGTTGGTGAATAAATCATCCAGGCCGTGAAAAAAAAAATCCCAAGTAGATGTGAATAAAATAAGTCTTGGGCTTTCTTTCTAGTTATCCTTTGGTTGACTTTTTTGTGTCATAGAGGAAAATGCTATAAGACACCTGCATTCATTGAGATAACATCTGGGGAGCCTCTGAGTTAGTGAATCTGAGAGTACTGTGGGTCAGGGATGGTGTCCTGGCACTGCCTTCAATGGTGTACATAGTGGAGACCGACACCTCTCGTTTCTGGAGTTACAAATGGTCAGAAAAATTTTATATAGATAGCTGTGATCATATACAAAACTTTACTGCGTTCCAGTTACCCACAGAATAAAGCCAAACTCGTCAATATGGAATTCAAAAACCTTCATACTCTGGTCAGCACCTAGCTTTCTGGCCTTAAATATTCTCACGGTCATCTCTGCACACGCACACACTCACATGTGATCACACGCACACAAGAATCTAGAATGCCCCATCTACCCTGTGGACTGACTGCCAGGAGCTGTGTCTTTGTTCATCTTTCTGCCTAAAAGGGGTTCCCTCCATTTCCTTTTCTATATGAGGAACTGCTACTCTTCCTTGAACACAGAACTCTAACATTCCCTACCAAAAGAGGCTTCCTTTGTCTACCCATTTAGAAGTGACACCTTTTCCCTGTATTTTCCTGTAAGATTTCTCCTATAACCTGATAAAGCGTGGAATTAAGTTAGTTGTGTAAAACATGCCTCACCCTATAAGACAGGCCCATGTCTACAAGGGATCAAAACATTTTCATGATCTATAATAGGTTTGGGGCTGCCTTGGGATTTTAGCTGTGTGGGTGGGCCTCACACACAGGAACTATTTAAAATCTTGAATTTAGAAACAAAAACCCAGGGGCTTTTTATCATAGGATGACTCTTACTTTCCCAAGTATACCCACTTGAAGTAGGATGTTTAGCTTTATTGTCACTGTGGTTTTCTTTTAATCATAGAAGCTTGAGCCCCTTAATTCCCCATTTATTCCAAAGAAATCAAGACTGAAAGAAAGCAGATAGAAGATGTAATGGGAATTAGTTTTTAGGTGTAAAGAAATGTAGTAACACTTAATACTGGGCATCTCTAAGACTACTAAAAACCTCTTTTTCTCATAGCCTCAGGATATAGAAAAATTATAGGAAAATAAAGATGGGGAAATAGTGAAATATTAGTGACATTAATCAATGCAGTCAAATTTTTTTACACATAGATTTAGATTTACATTCAGATATTTGTGGTCACGTGAACTTTCAAAAGTTTTAAGAAATTGACTTAGATCCCAAAGAGATTCTACCTAGAATCTTGAATATGGATCCAAGATGGGATATTTGGGGAGATTTCTGGTTTGGGCAGTTAACACCGGCAATTAGGTCAGTGGCTCACAGGTTGCAATTCACAGACCAGGACCAATGTGTGATGAAGTTTCTTTATAGGGACCCCCCGCCTCTCTGAGAGTACCAGGTCTCAATCCTGGAAAACCCACCTGCCCTCTATACATATGCACTGTCTCTTGTCATTCAGAAAGCGAGGTAGGCTAAGGACTTTGCTAGACCAGAGGGGAGGGAGGATAAAGCATCTTCTTTCCCTTCTCGTGCTTCCAAAAGTGTTGTGGTTAATTTTTGACTTGCCAAGGCTACTGAATATTGGTAGAAATAATCCTAAAATAATTTCTACATAACAACTGGATGAACCTACAGAATTATTTCCCTTATTCAAATGGGCTTTCAAAGTCTGTTTTTTCCCCAAGCATGATTTATTTTGTAATCTTTTCACTAGATTTATGGAAGGTAAACACTAAAGACAAAACCACCTTAAACTTAAAATGATCTCTGTGTGTATTTCATTGTCTCAATCAAAAGCCTATGTTCAGATAACCAAATTAATTGTATCTATTGAGCCTACACCATGCTTTTGCATTCTTGATTTGTTGAGCAACCTCCGGAACGTGCTGTTTTGTGCCGTGGATGCATCTTTTAAAATGTTCTCCCCTTAAAAAAAGAGTATACATATATATATATATATATCTGTATATAAATAGCCAAGATCAGCAAAACGATTAAAAGTGAGAACAGTCTATGCTAGGTTGCAGCGTGGTCTTGGAGTCATAGTCTGTCACTGCCCTGCACAAAATAACAAGTCCTATTCGTAGTGTGCTTTTAGTAGATGGCCAACCACATAGGATGTGTGCACGTGTGGGTGTGTGTATATATATATATATATATGTACAGCACACAGACAGTATATATATATATACGGTAAACAAATCAGTAGGCGTCAGGGATCACAACCTCTCGAGTCAGCACAACACCAGCACAGAGCCATGCACACGGGCCACTAACTGATGGTGATGGCGGTGACAGGGATGCAGTTGAGCACGCAGCAGGGGAGAGCGCAGCGCCGGAAAAGCCTCCCCTTCCCTGAGCCCCTGTGCCACTCCTGAGGGGACCCCCTGCTGCTCCTGGATCTCTCATCATTTTCTCCTCTGCCCCACTAGGGTGTTGGCGCCCAACATACCTTTTCTAAAAGCTCCTGGTTTCTCTTAATGAAAAGTTGTTTATCTTCTACCCAGTGTGAGTCCTGTTTGACAAAGAATATTGCGCAGTCAGCATTTCGGAGTGGCACGGGAGAGCCTGTGTCGACAAACCACTTGGCCAGAGCTGTCTCCTCTCACCCAGTTTGTTGGCCGGCCGGTGGCTGGTAAATGACACCCACCCCTTGTCATCCGCTCCTTCTTCAAAAGACATCGGGGCCAAAGTTGCCAGGAAAATTTCACCCCCTTCTCATTGACACTCACTAAGCTCTAACTTTTTCAGTCTGAATAATCCAGGACCAGCCTTCCGGGGACTCAGAAGTGACCACACAGGCAAAAAGTGAAAAGGGTCAGAATGCACACAGGCTAGATACATATGGATGGAAAACATTAAAATGCAGAACCATAAATGTAGCATAGAGGCAAAGAATGCAGCTCGAGGGGCGGGTCTTTGTCTCAGCAGCTTGTGACCACTCTAGGCTATTTGTACAGGGCTCCTCTTCATCTGCCATTCTCTCTTGCCCAACCTCATTCGTGTTGTAGCAGGGGGTTCACGCTCTGGCCAGAAAAACACCAGGGACAGAAACATCGAGTTGAACATTCTGACAGAGTTTGAGAAAGGTCACTGTGGAGAGCCAAGCTGTGTCCCGGGTGCGGCCCATGCACAGGGGCTGTAGGACAGTCGGACGGGATTGTGTGCATCTGCAGAAGAGCCAGCAACCCGATGCCTACCTGCCCTTTCTGAGCCAGGGTCGCTTCCAGATCTTCAATTTTGGCTTTATACCTTAGCACCTCTGCTTGGAGCTGTTCTTGAGCCTAGTGAAATCAAAATTCCAGAACTCAGTAAGTAAAATGGTAACTCAGTATTTTTCCTTCCCTTATGTTCCTTGATCAGAACTCAACAAGGGAGAAAAAAAAATTTTTTTTTCTATGATCAAAGGACCTTTTAAAACTCTTTTTAGGATTGAAATTCTTGCCTAAAACTTTCCGTGGTTCCCTTTACCATTAGGTTAAAATTCAAAGTCTTTAGGTGAGATGTGAGAACTCCCATTATATTTGCAATCTTTTCCGCACTACTCATCAACAAAGTTCACCCCTGATCTGCTGGTGATCTCCTTATTTCCTAAATATGCCTTGTAACCCTCCCCACTTCTCTCTTATTTGAATAAATTCCTCTTCTGGAAATCCTTCTCCCATTTTGCCTCTCCCAAAACTTGCCATTCTTTCAGAGCCAACTTTGCCCTAAATCTAAATCTAGATCCAGATGTATGTATGTATGTATGTATGTATGTATGTATGTATGTATGAATGATGTGTATGTGTGTCGGGGGGTGAGTGTGTGTATCAGCATTTTTGGACACTGATCTTCTATGGAGCAACCTTACTTCATTTCTTTTCAGATTCTCTTGTATTCTCCCTACATAGGACCTTATTTTCTGTGAAAAATTAGTGGGTTTTTTGCTTTTTGCCCATACACATATTTTTTACTTATCTTAAGATCTCGATAGGTTCTTTAGTGTAATGTGGAATAAAGTCAGCAATGGCAGGTATCCTTTCTTTTTCTTCTTTCCTTCCTTCCTTCCTTTTTCTTTTTTTAGAGGGAGAGAGGGTGGGGAGGGGCAAAGGGAGAGGGAGAGAGAGAACCTCAAACAGACTCCCTACTGAGAAGCCCAATGCAGGGCTCAATTTTACAACCCTGACAACATGACCTGAGCCGAAATCAAGAGTTGGATGCTTAACACTCTGGAAAACTGTATGGAGGTTCCTCAAAAAGTTGAAAATAGAGCTACCATATGATCCAGCAATTGCACTACTGGGTATTTACCCCAAAGATACAAAAGTAGGGATCCGAAGGGGTACGTGCACCCCGATGTTTATAGCAGCAATGTCCGCAATAGCCAAACTGTGGAAAGAGCCAAGATGTCCATTGACAGATGAATGGATAAAGAAGAGGTGGTATATATATACAATGGAATATTATGCAGCCATCAAAAGGAATGAGATCTTGCCATTTGCAACGACATGGATGGAACTGGAGGGTATTATGTTGAGCGAAATAAGTCAAACAGAGAAAGACATGTATCATATGACCTCACTGATATGAGGAATTCTTAATCGCAGGAAACAAACTGAGTGTTGTTGGAGTGGGGGGTGGGGTGGGAGGGATGGGGTGACTGGGTGATGGACACTGGGGAGGGTGTGTGCTCTGGTAAGCGCTGTGAATTGTGCAAGACTGTTGAATCTCAGATCTGTACCTCTGAAACAAATAATGCAATATATGTTAAGAAAAAAAAAAGAAGAAGAAGAAGGTAGTGGGAGGGGAAGGATGAAGCAGGGGAAATCGGAGGGGTAGATGAACCATGAGAGACGATAGACTCTGAAAAACAAACTGAGGGTTCTAGAGGGGAGGGGGGTGGGAGGATGAGTTAGCCTGGTGGTGGGTGTTGAGGAGGGCACATTCTGCATGGAGCACTGGGTGTTGTGCACAATGAATCATGGAACACTTCATCTAAAACTAATGATGTAATGTATGGGGATTAACATAAGAATAAAATTAAAAAAAAAAAAAAGAGTTGGATGCTTAACTGACTGAGCCACCCAGGCACCCCCCCTCCCAGTTCTTCCTTTTTTAAAAGTAATCTCTACACCCAACGTGGGGCTCAAACTCACATCCCTGAGATCAAGAATTGCATGCTCTGACTGAGCCAGCCAGGTGCTCCTCCTTTTCTTATTCTTCATTGGGAGAAGAATATGTCTTTGGACTGTTGAAGATTATATTTACCTTTATTAGATTAAAAAAAAACCCAAGCTTAATTTCACTGAGAATTATTTTAACTTTAAATGAGCATTGAGTACAATCTATTTTTTTCTTGTATCAAAATGATTACATCTTTTGTTTTCATGATACTCATTCATCTATATTATCTATTTTTGCATTTCTTTTTTTTTTAAATATTTTACTTATTTATTAAAGAGATAGTGAGCATGCAAGCGAGAGTGGGTGAGGGCAGAGGAAGAGAGAGAATCTCAAGCAGACTCAGTGCTGAGCGCAGAGCCCGATGCCGGGCTTGATCTCATGACTCTGAGATCATGATCTGAGCCGAAATGAGAGTTGGATGCTTAACCAACTGAACCACCCAGGCGCCCCTATTTTTGCATTGCTACTTTCTCTCAATTTACTCTATTGCCCTTTTTCTAACATCTTGATTTGTTTCAGACTATTTTGCTGAGAATGGTTAAGGTTTTTTGACTTTCATAGCTAGAGATAACGCTAAACCTTTATTTAGAGGTGAGGGTGAAATGAGAGAAAGAACTGGTTTCTACATCATCACCTCTTCAAAAAACAAGATGTATGCCATTATCTTAATTAACCAATCCTATGTTTCATGAGAATGCTTAGTACATGCTAATCATGAAAACCACAACTATGACGTATTAAAGGCATAAACACGAAGGGACACACATACATCCCTTTCCAATGACTGCCTGCCTATCTATTCCAAATCACAGTGGGTTTTTTTTTAATGTTTATTCATTTATGTATAAACATGTGCATGTATGTATGTTACAATTTAAAAATACACAACTATAATATCTATCCTGTCCCACTAAACAACTAAAAGTAGTTCTTACAACACTGTTCAGCATACTACAGACCCTCTAAACTGGAAGTAGGATAAAATCACTGGGTGGGCACACTCCTTCTTGCCCCATGTAAATTATAAATCTATGAAGCAGTTATGGCATGGTGGTTAGGACTGTGAACTCAGAAACACTAGGTTCATATCCTAGCTTTCATCTAACTGAGCTGTATATCCTGGTTTCAACCTAGCCAATCTACATTTAACTCCTACAAAGCTATTATCTCCTCTCCTATAAAAAGGACATAGCTAAGAATAGCATCTAACTCATAGGGTTGTTTTAGGATTGCATGAGATGATGTATGTAAAGCGCTTACAATGATGTCTGCAACACAGTAAGGACTCACTAAATTTTAAGTATTAGTATTGTATGTGTGTAGCTTTTTTTTTTTTTTAATGAGCTTATGACAGGCAATTGTGATGTAATGGAAAGAACATGTGACCCAGTAAGATTTTAGGTGGAATCCAAGTTTTCCATGAATTAGCTATGTGATCTTGGGCAATTCAATTAACCTCTCAGAGCCTTGAACTCTTTTATAAAATACCTGCCTTAGGGTGCTGTCATAAAAATTAAATGAGATATTGTCAGTGAAAATTCTTTGGAAGCTGTCAATGTAATGTTGTGCACTTATTAACTAAGAAAAGAAAGTGGCTAACCACAAAAGTATTTTTTCCAAGCAAGAAGCTAAAAAAATGGATTATCAAGATTCAATATTGTCTAGCTTTGAAAAATAAAAGTTTTCAAATAGCCAGAATAAGAACTACTGTCTTTAAAGGAACAAAAGCATCGATCTAAGTTGGTTCTAATGTCTCTAGATCCAAGGTTTGTTGACATAAAAGATAAAACAGTTCAAAAGCCACAGTGGAGAGAAGGATACAGGGGAAGCTATCCTACTGATATTTTTATGTCCATGGTACTTTTATGTTGTGACTGCTGCAGGCCAATTCAGAGCACTCTCCCCAGACGTGTACCGACCTTGGCTTCCCTTTCAGCATCGATGATACCTCCAGTCTGCTCCTGCAGGAGGGCATATGCTCTTTGGAGGGCCTGATATTCTTTTGTTAATTGTCGAAATCGTAGCTCAGATTCTTCAGCTGCTAAACTCTTGAGGTTACAAAAAAGGCCAAAAAATAATTAGGTTATGTTCGGATCCTGTGTTCAACGTGAAATACTAACATTTGTCCACTTTATAAAGAGAAGTAAATATATGTTTGATACTGGATTGGGAGTGATTTTATTCTTTTTGTGGGGAGAGGGGTAGAGGGAGAGGGAGAGAGAGAATCCCAAGCAGGCTCCATGCACTGCAGAGCCCGAGATGGGGCTTGATCTCACGACCCTGAGATCATGACCTGAGCCGAAATCAAGAGGCAGACACTTAACCAACTGAGCCACCCAGGCACCCCGTGATTTTATTCTTAATTTTAAAGTATGTACATAGACACAAATACTGTAGTACTTCAAGATCGACATTGCAGAAATACTTAATGTTTATTAATAAGAGGCATTTGCTTATTTATACATTTCTGATGATTGCTCTTTTGGCTTAGATTACAGTCAATTTTGGGTCCAGATGAGAACTTACAGCTAGCTTTTGGATTCAAATGGGAGGAAATGATAGTTTTATTCTCAATTCTTTTCAACACATTCATATGCAACAATTTCTTCCAGAGATAAACTATAAAAATATAGTTTTACAGCTTTAGGTCTCAAACTTCAGAGCATGATATAATCACCAGGGAGCTTTGTGAAAAATGCAGATTTGGGGGTTCTACCCACAGGATCCTGACTCAGGAGTTGTGTAGTAGAGTCCAGGAATTTTCACTGTGATTGAACCCCCCTAGATGATTCTGACAATGGTAGTCTAGAGAGCACACTTTGCTAAACCCTGTCCTCAACTGTATCTAGAAGCTTGTTCTTCTAAGCTTGTTTCTTGGTTCCCACCTTCCCTAGATGAAGAATTGGGGAGAGTGACTTTTAGTTTGAAAAAAGTCTTCAAGTTACAGAACAGGATTTTAGACAAGTTGTTAAAAGGGTTACATGACACCGGCGAAGCTATTTTCCAAGAGGTAACAAAGTCAAAATGGATCACTATTATGTGATCATTTTGGGCAGTTCAGAAAGGATGTAAGAAGTACAACGCTTTCTCTCCACTTTAAAGCAAAAGTTTGGTGACAGTATCACAAAAGACTAGAGAAGTGGAAAAGCTTACTTCGTCCAAGTCATCATCAGGAGTAGCTGGTGTTCGGTCTGTTCTAAATGAGGCCATGGATGATGTCTCTGAATCCATGGAGTCCTCATCATAGCCAATAAATGGGTCCAAAACAGGCCTCTAGGGGTGGGAAAGTACATATTTACTGACACAACTAGGAGTGGGGAAAGTCAACATATTACCAAGGTACCATCAACTGGCATATGTGCAAATGGACACAGAAGACAGGGGTCCTTTAGTGCTTCTTGGAGGAAATAAAAACTTCGGGCATGAACACAATAATTCCAATAAAAGTGCGTCCCACTTTGTTTCACTTCTGATGTTGCTGAGGAATATTCACTAACATTTGGCTCTCCTCATAGAAACATTGGAGCCTCTTAATATATTACATTTTATATACCATGACGAGTTTATGTGACTTATCTTTCCAGTATTTAAAATATAATCAAGACAGACTTAAAGTCCAGGCACCTATCTGGGATTATCAAATTGTAAGTCTTATCCTCCAATCCAATATCCAAATCAAATAATGTACTTGATAAAAACAAAATCAAACAAATAGACAAATTAACAAAACTTCATGGATTATAAGAGGCTATACTGATATGGGTGGACTGAGAGTACCATTATTAATAATCATTATCAGTAATCGTATCCAAGTATATAATGGAATAATAAAATCAAACTACTACCAATAATACTGTCCAGGAGAATAATAAAAATACACGAATAATTATAGGGTGGGTATGAGACACTAATATTATTCACTGGAAGGCATTAAATCATGTGTATCTCTTGCATGTTCTTAGAGTTTGACTCTCCAGCTTGTCAGATAATGCTTTCCACCCCAAACCTAGTGCCTATTCACGCAGATAAAGTCATATTAAAGCAAACCTTAAAGGTTAAAATCCATAACGCAATCATTTTTGGACTTCTAAGAACTACCAAGAGAAGAGATTTTCTTCTAGCAAATAAAGCCCATGGTTTGCTGCAGTTTAGGAACATCTGATTTATCACATCTTTGCAGGCAGATTCCTTGGCAGCCTCATTTCTCTCACAGGGTTTGTGGCAAAAGCCTGATAACCTAGTTTTCCCGTTACCTTAATTGGCTTGGAACTTCTTCTGTGTTTTCTCCTACGGATGAGCTTTTCTCGGTCCTGGAAAACAGACGAAGAACTTTTCAGATGTTGAGTTGGTACATGTTTTCCTCTAGGTTTTGTGTTGTGTTTTTTTTTTTTTCTCAATGACAGAGTTGGTTTTCACCCGAGGCATTACGTATTTCTATTTAAAATAAGATTGTGTTTTGTAATTTTGGTAATTTTTAGGTTTGCTACTTACAGATCTTTTTAAAGATTTTATTTATTTATTTGAAAGAGAGAGAGAGCATGAGCAGGGGGAGGAGCAGAAGGGGAGGAAGACGGAGTGGAATGAATCTCAGACTTCACACTGGGTGTGTGGGGCTTGATCTCATGATGCTGAGAGCATGAACTGAGCGGAAACCAAGAGTTGGACTTTCTCAAACAGACTTCACACTGGGTGTGCGGGGCTTGATCTCATGACGCTGAGATCATGAACTGAGTGGAAACCAAGAGTTGGACGCTTAACCAATTGAGCCACCCAGGTGCCATTTCATATTTTTAAAGTAAAAATACACTACAACTTTTCCTGATAATCTATGTGGATCTGAGAGCCTCCCAATCAGGAAGTACACCGTCTTCCTCATCAGAATCCTTTATTATACTTGAAGATCAAGTAGCTCTGAAAATACTCATATTTTCCCAAAGCACAATTTTTCAGTTTTCTCAAACCCAAAATTACTTTATATTTAAGTATTGAAAAAATACGACTTTGCATAAACCTTATTCTTTTCATTTAATCACTTGAAAGTCATAGCAAGCTGTCTTCTGACTATTCTTAGACCCTTGTTCTCACCTGCAGCCTCTGAAGATGGGAACAGAGTGTCTACTGGGTTGGAATCATCTATTGGGCTTTTTTCGGGGGGAGGGGAATCAATTTCTTGATTCTTTTTTTTTGTGGATGGAGATATCCTGGGAATTTGGTGTTCATTAACTAAGTACTCCACATATTTACTGTACAAATTCAAAGGTAGATTAAATAAGTGGCACTTAGTTTCCCTGAAAGTCTGGATGATATGTCTCAACATGTCAAATTCTTATAAGAAACTTTTATCTTAAGTTCAGATACTCAAAGTCAAGAAAAGTCTTGGCCGAGTGAATCTGGGATTTACTAGTAATTAAGGTTGTGGATGTGAAGTAAGAGGCACACTGCACCAGAAGGCCATGTTTAATACGTTGTCTGGTTTATGCCAGTGATGTTAACCTTTAGGATTTCTCAACTTGTAAAAATATTTTGATCATATAACCTCAATATATCTGAAACTTTGAAAATGTATACTTAGATTACCCTCCTAATACAGTATATGCATTATAACATATACTCAACGTAGACAATTTTAAAAGGATAAACCACAAATAGTTATAACCAGACGTTATCATCTTTTCTCCCCTCAATAGCACTAAATCATCTTGCTCACCCTTCCTTGGAGACACTTGCCTAACCCCCCCCCACCCCTCCCATTGCTAGTTCCTCAACTCCCCAGCCCTTGGCTTGCTCCTCAAGTGAGAGCAACCAGAGATAACAATCATGGAATAAAGACAGTGAGGCAAAGAGGAAACCCAAAGGCATGTGAAGGTCTTAGGCCACTGCTGTTGGTAAAACAAGCCTTGACCAGATGCAAATGGAAGTAATAACTGCTCTAAGGCACTGAGGTCATGGTCAGAAGATCGGGACTGAAATTTCCACTCTGTCATGTAATTACGATGTCACTGTTCATTCAACAAATATTTATTAAACTGCACTATGTGCTAGATACTGAATCAAATGTTGGGAAATAAGAGGCATATGGTCTTGTTATTGTTGGCCAAATATTTAATCTCTGAGCCTCAGCATCTTGATACTGGAAGGCAATTATAAGGTACACCCAGACTATATACCTACCCACATAATGATGCATTTGGAAGTTCTTTTAGGGTGTTTTGCAGCCACTATTTGTGTTATCAAATTAGTTAAGAGGATTCTAATTGAAAGTGTATAAAACAGTTTAATAATATGAAGTATTTTTGGAATAGAGTCTCTTCAACTTACTTATATATTGAATATATAAACTCGGGCTTTTGGGGCTAATCTGAAATTATTATTATTTTTTTAAAGATTTTATTTATTTATTTGAGAGAGAGAGTCAGAGAGAGAGAGAGAGCACAAGAGGGAGGAGCGGGAGAGGGAGAAGCAGACTCCCTGCCGAGCAGGGAGCCCGATGCGGGACTCGATCCCAGGACCCTGGGACCATGACCTGAGCCGAAGGCAGTCGCTTAACCAACTGAGCCACCCAGGCGCCCCTAATCTGAAATTATTAAGTGCTTCCAGTGCATGTTGATTTCTCAGTGACTTGCCCTTGGGAACAGCTTAGAGTTTATAGAATGATCAAGACCTACCCTTGTGAGCTCATCAATAATGTTCTGCTGCTCAATGACTTGAAGTTTTAAAAACTCTGTCTCTTGTTCTTCATTAGCTTGATCGAGGTCATTCAGAGATTTTAATTTCTTTAAGGGTGGATGGGATGTTATTTTTTCTCTCTGGATTGGAAAAGAAGAAAGTATAGGTAGAGATTTTAAAAATCCTAAACTTTAGCAGTTCACACAGAAACTTTATGAGGCTCCAACTAAATTTGAAAATTGCTCAGCTTCATAGATGCACCAACCAAAACCCTCGAGTTTATTTTATCTTCTACGAGTCAAAATCACTGGGGATGTCTGAAGATCTTGACAGCTGTGTTGTAAGTCTGTTAAGGAGTGCATGAGCTTATCACTGTCCATACATAATACAAGTGGTGGCATCTATTTCTCAACTATTATGCAATGTCTCAGAAGATAAGAGGTACCCATTGTACAGTTCTATGAAGAGCATGTTAGTGAAATTCTTGGAAGGAAGTTTCTGTGACTGAGTTTGCTTCTCTACTGGGGAGATTTTGGAAAGTGTGCAGATTCCTGGAAGCAGTCCTACCGTTCTGCAAATTTAGAAACCCCTTAAAATTCAGAGCCATCAATTTTCTCTTGCTTTCTTCCTTTAAGGTTCCTTGCTTCCACAGGGAAAAAAACCCCAATTTTCATGAATAGCATTGTATTTTAAAAATGAACTGAGAAAGAGTAGTAAGTCAGGTTAGTGGAGTTGGAAGGACGGAAGCTGCAGCTTTGCAGAGTCTGTGATACACACCATTTCTGAATTTTCCTTGGTAACGGCTTTTAGCTTCTCTTCCATGCGCTGCAAAGACACCATCAGCTCATCGTTCCTCTTGGTGAGGCACTTGTTCCTTTCCAGAAGAGGTTTACATTGTTTCTCAGTTTCCCGCACCCGTTTTAACTGGGAAGACAGAAGTTACAATTTGTCTCTTGTGCTGGAGTGGATGTGGGAGCAGAGGGAGAGAATGGGCAGGGGTGAAACCCATCTGGGGCCGCCTTGGTTGGCCTCACTGTGTGTCCCGGAACTGACCATGTCCATCCTTCATTTAATAGCCCGACTGCTTTGTTTTCAGTTTCCTCGAACGGTTTGCCATCATCATAGTATTCACAACTCTGTATCAAGTATTACCTTCAAGGAGGTGCTGCCAAGGTTCTGATTTTGGAAATGCTCAGCAAGAGCAATTGCACGCCTTGCTTGCCCCTTGATTTCCGCCAGCCCGGGTACCCTGCTACACTGAGCCCCAACCTCATGCTGCTCATACCTCTCCCTGGGCCTGCAGTGACCCTTCACTGGCTCAGAGAGATAAAGCAGCTCATATGAATCACCAGTCACTAGGGAGTGCAACCAGGACTCAAACCCAAGCCTGATTATCGGCAAAGCCTGTTCTTCCATAAGAGATGTTGCTAAGATTCCTGAAACCACACTAAGACTGTTTATTTTTATTTATTCATTTTTTTTACATTTATTTTTTGGTAATCTTTACACCCAATGTGGGGCTCAAACTCACAACCCTGAGATCAAGAGTCTCATGCTCTTCTGACTAAGCCAGCCAGGTGCCCCAAGGATGTTTATTTTTAAGAAAATGTTATTGAGAAAAAAAACATACTCTCAAAACTCTATTGATATTTGTGTTGAAGAACATTTAATTCTCACCGAGCTTAGGAAAAGTATGATTATATTCTTACCTGCCCATAATTAAGAGTGACCATATTCTGGTTTGCTAGTCTAAGGCAAGGTTTCTCAACCCCAGCACTCTAGACATTTTGGGCTAGATACTTTTTGTCATGAGGAGATGTCCTGTAATGTAGAATGTTTAACAGCATCCCTGGCCTCTGCCCACTAGATGCTGGTAACATCCTCCCAGTTGTGACAATCAAAAACATCTCCAGACACTGCCAAAATTGCTTCCAGCTGAGAAACACTGGTCTAATTTTATGAATGCTATCTTGGGGTAATTGTTAATAATCCCCCCTTTTGCTCTCAAAACTCCCATCTGGATGACATATTTTATGGTCCCTCTAAACATAACAGATTTCCATGTTAAAGTTCCCATGCTTAGTTCAGTGACTTTATACTAATGTTTCTGAATGAATATGTATTGGGGGAGGGGTATTGAAGCAAGGAAAGTGGTGGAGTCTATCAGAACCATCTGACAAGATAAAGTACTCACTCCTATTTTTGAGAATCTAACGCTTTAGGAAGTGCTGGGGTAGGAGACTTAGCTACCTATAAATATTTGAAACAGCTGCTTGTGGGATTCTAAAACAGTACCCCCCAACTGTATCTTAACTGCCATTTGAAAACTCATTTTATATCAAAGGCCAAAATTTTTCATAACCTCATTTAATCCTCAGATTTGAGTTTCAGTGTCTGAAGAAATCATATTAAATATGAAGCACATACAAGGACAAATAAGTTATTCCACTAGGTTCACTATTTTAAACTTTGTCTCTTTTCTGAAGGTCAATGACAAGGGTTTTAAACAGTTAAATTTACCTAGTAGATGCTACTTATGGAAGATGCAGAAAAACACAAGGAAAAGGAGATATCAGTAATTCTACCATACCATACATCAGTAACCTTAGATGTAAAGTACCTAAAAAAAAACTGTTCCTTTTAAAAGATATAGCTTAAGTATTATAAAGGAAGTGTGAAAGTCAACATAGATATTCATGAAACCACCAAAAGAAAAAATCTGACATAGTGTAACTAACATCAGACCAAGACTTTAAATCAAGAAGTATTACTAAAGATAAAAAAATTCATGATGCAAACATTTAACAAATCTTAATTTATATGTACCTAGTAACATAACTTCAAATATATATAAAGCAAACTTGATAAAACTAAGAATAGATATGGACAAATCTGTTGGGAGATTATACAAAACAGTATAAAGATACAGGAGATTTTAAACAAAACTATTAATGAACTTGATTCAAAACACATGCAATGACTGCACAACATACCTTCTTTTTATGAGAACATGGAATGTTTCTAAAATTGACAGTATGCTACCATCATAAAGTAAATTTCAATAAATTTTAAAGAATGAAATGATACAAAGTATTCCTGACTAATGTAACACTGTGTGTCAATTGTACTTCAACTTAAAAAAAAAAAAAAGAATACGAAGTATATTCTCTGACTATAATGGAATTAAGGTAGAAATCAATAGCAGAGAGATAACTCAAAAATCCCCAAATGTTTAGAAGTTAAGCCTTATGGTGCTAAGTAACCCATTGGTCAAAGAAGAAATCATATATTAGAAAAGATTTTGAAATAGCAATACATTATGACATAAAAGAATGTATGGGATGAAGCTAGTCATGCTTAGAGATATTTATGACCTAAAATGTATATATTTGGAAAAAAACAAAATGCTGAAAGTAACTTCTTTGTACCAAGAGCCACCATGAAGAATGTAAAATGTAAGGCACAGAGCAAGATTTTTTTTAAGATTTGTTTATTTGAGAGAGAGCATGTGTGAAAAAGCATGGGGGAAGAGCAGAGGGAGAAGGAGAGAGAAAATCCCAGACAGACTCCATGCTGAGCATGGAGCCTGATAAAGGACTCAATCTCATGACCCTGAGATCACGACCTGAGCCGAGACAAAGAGTCGGTCACTTAACCAACTGTGCCACCCAGGTGACCCCAGAGCAGGAGATTTTAAATACAAATATCCAAAAATGATGCAAAGAATTCCTAATATTGATAAGAAAATAAAGGCAGCACAAAAGAAAATTTTACAAAAGACCTATGTCTCATGCTCTTCAATGAAGACATGAAGCAATTTTGGCAGTATCTGGAGATGTTTTTGATTGTCACAACTGGGAGGATGTTACCAGCATCTAGTGGGCAGAGGCCAGGGATGCTGTTAAACATTCTACAATGCAGGACATCTCCTCATGACAAAAAGTATCTAGCCCAAAATGTCTAGAGTGCTGGGGTTGAGAAACCTTGCCTTAGACTAACTAGCAAACCAGAATATGGTCACTCTTAATTTTACGAAAGACCTATGTCTTTTGTAGGTCAGATCCCACAAGGACACCCAAAAGGCCAAAAGATTTTTGAAAATTCATTCAATCTCATTATCAAGGAAAGTAAAAATCAAAATCCTACAATCAGAATATCACTCACACCCACCATACTGACTAATATGATCAACGATCTGTGCATGTTGGCAAAGCTGTGGAGAAACTGCAAGTCTCCCATGTTGGCGGTGGGAATGCAATTGTTCTAACAACTGTGGAAACAACTGTGTCACCATTTAAAAAATGGTGACACACATCTACAGTGACAGAATTCAGTAGAGTGATTAACTCTAGAAGGATGTGATTGGCAGAGGTCCCAAGAGAGGGAGGCTCGGAGGTGCTGGTAATCTTCCAGGTACTCATCTGGGTGGTGGCTATATGGTTGTATCACTTTGGGCGTATTTATTAAACTGGACCTTTATTATCTGTGCACTTGTCTTTATTATGTTATACTTCTACAACATCATATATATACTTTCTTAAACAAAATGCTTAACAAAATCACCAGATAAATAAATAATTCTGGGCAGAACTCACCAGTTCGTTTCGTTCATCTCCAAGCAGGGTGTTCCTGTCTTCTAATTTTCTTATAGTGGCATTCAATTCCGCTATTCTCTTCTGATTTCTTCTCAAATCCTAGGCAGGAAAATTAAAATGGGTATTTCTTCAAGAACACTTTTCACAAAGTTTGGGAATTCTACTCATAAAAGTAAGAGGCTTGGTTCCTTTCATCTGGCTTATGAGGTGAGAGTAAAATGTTCTGTAATCAGAGAAGAGTAAATATTTACCCTCTTCTAACCCTTGATATTCACTGCTTGGGTTGAAGACCAGGCCTAGTTGAAACTGCAAATGAATTCCATGTGGCAGATACCCTCTGGAGCCCTGACTCCTGGCAGGGGGAGTGGTAGATGGTTGGATGAGCCTATCAGATCTGTGAGTTCTGAGACCAAGGTCATGTTGTGATTACATGAGGTTCAAGGAGCGTCTCTTAAGTCATGGCTGCACATTGCTTTCCACAGCTAAGACAGATGTCCTATCACACTTAGCCAAAGAATAGAAGATAGGGCTGGGCTTTGAAAATTCCTGCATACTCCTGGAGAAAAAGGTCAATGTGAGAAGGCTGGTGCATTACCTTCACGTATAAAACGCAGTAGATTATAAGATAGCCTTTGCTGGTACATTTTGCCCAGAGCTCCTGGCTTCCCCACTGTCATAATTGCCATGGATCACTTTACACATGGCTCTCATGGATTAATTCCATGCTCTAGCGTCCATAGGACCATCACAGACTTGCAATTCCATTATCATCTTACATTTTTGATAGTGCTGCACTGTTGACAAAGCAGTTTCCCACACATTTTATCTCCAGATTCATAAAATTCTAGAGGATTTATTCCTGAAGATTCAGGAAGGTCATAACTCGTTCAAGGTCTTGTGGCTACTATCAATAGATCAATAATTAATATTTATTGAATGCTAATTATGAACCGGACACTGTGCTCAACATTTTACAGACCATTTCTTCTAGACCTCCGACCAGCCTTACGGAGTCCCATTATTGCCTCTCTTTTACAGATGAGGAAACTCTGAGCAGGAAAATGATCTGCCTGAGGTCATGTAGTAAGTGGCAGATCCAGAATTTGAACTAAAGAGTCTGACCCTAGAGCCCATTCTCTTGACAGTTTTGCTGCACTGCAGGTAAGTGTCAGGGACAGAACTGAAACTTAAATCTGCTAAATCCTGATTCCGCCACCTACTGGGATATATATATCCTGAATACCAATTCATAAATTATTCATTACTTGGTTCTAAGTACTACTTTGGAACCTATCTCTGTTCCTAAATAATACATTTTCATCTTTTTAGCAGCTAAGTTATGAAAGCCAACGATACACAAGCTGATTTCTATGCCTGCAGTTCTGAAAATAATTTCTCCTATAAAATGATGAAAATCCAGGGTAATGAGTAGCAAGTTCGATCGGACTAGAAACTTTCAGATGATGATTTAAGCGGTTCAGTTTTTTATATAGTCATACATTTTGACCCCTCTAGATGACAACCGTCTTTGCCAATTTCCAACCCAACGGTTCACACAAGGGAAAATTACCAGTCTTGGCAAGAGGCAAAGTAGTTTCATCTACTTTATGACTCTTATAATAGGCTAAAGTTTGGATAGGTATCGCGTGGGTAGAAAAATTCTATGCAAGATTTAAAAAGACCTGTAATTCTCTTGTGATCTGCTAATGCAGGGCAGACCACTTTGGTGCCTGTGAGTTTAGAAAACCCTATTCCCAAGATACTAGCTGGTTTTATAGGAGGAGGTAGAATTGATTTCTTTGTAGTAAACAGGAAAAGAGCTTAAGTGAAAAGTACAACTTGGAAGCTAAATAAAAGATGACTCCTGAGTTCTTCGCTTCAGCTCGGACAGACTTACAGGACTGCCGCAGTGCTCGGAGCCGTCTCCCGCTCTTCCTGGAATCTCTCGTTTCGGACTGCTCATGTTACACTCAGCCTCCTTGACCAGAAAGAGCTGTTCGTCCAACGCCTCTTTCTGCAGCTGCAGTTTCTGGACGTAGCCAGTTTGGGTCTCCAGTTCCTTTTCCAGGGAGAAGATGATCCTGTCCTTGGCTTTAATCTCATCCATCTGAATTAAATGACACCCAGGACATTTTATTTAACAATGCTGTAAAAAAAAAATGCATTTTTACAATGGTAGGAGTTTAACTTCTTTCCGCTGATTGTTATGGGGAAAAATTATGACTGTGACAGGTATACTGAATTTATGAACAAGACAAGGCAACACTGTGTAATGAAAGGCTATCCTTGGATAATTAGGTATCAAGGAAAGTAACTTTTTCTCTCTGATATATCCTGGGTAGATGCTTTAGTTCAGTATATTGTTTAAAATAGTCTAGGTTGGTTGGATTTAGAGAGGTTAACTTTAAAATGGGTCATTGGTAAAAAAAAAAATAATAAAATAAAATGGGTCATTTGTGTTAATAAAGACAGATACTCAGTATTCCATTACAGTGTTTCCCAGGACAATTTCTGATCTTCCTCCTGTTTGGAGGAAGAGACTTTAGTTCACTTTAACTAGGAGGAGGCACTATGAATTGGTCATTTTTTGCTGACGAAGCTGCGGACTTTCCAGGAGCCTAGTCAGTTCCTAAGACCAGTATGTTTGCATTCAGGTGGCGAATGTGGAGTGAATTCAGGTGTGAGTTTGGAGCATGGTTCACGTTATGTGGATCTTTCCATTCCTTTCCACATTTCAGAGCAAACAGATAAGGCAACCATTTTACCATTACTGTCAGAAAACCACGGTCGGGACAAGAAGAGGAATGGGAAACACCTGGTAATATTAGCCACTGTTTCCCCTCCTATATCTGTGGGACATATTTATGGATCCCAGCACTCACTTCTATTAAGTCTCAGCAGGGTCGCAGAATTATTTGTCAACTAAAGGCCGTAAGCATTTGATATCAACTGATCAAGAGTTTCATTGGACTGAAAAATTTGTGCCATTCCTGGTGAGGGCTAGGGAAGTTAATGCCTGTAAACAATTTCTGAAGAGAGCATAACCATCAGGCAAAATCTTACTTCTCATTTCATTATATTCCATAAGAATATTCAAAATGGAGATAGGATAGAGACATTTAATACAAATGATATTATACTGTTCTCTTTATAAAAATATCTCCTTATTTATAACAAATCACTTTGTGTAGATCATTCTTTGCTGTGTTCCTCATATAAATCTGCCTATGTATATATTTGGAACAAAAAGTGATGCATGGTCCCATTTTTCCACATTTAAGTTTCTGCGAGCCAATGCCTCCCAGTCACAGGATTACATTTTAGATCAATTTTGGAAGTCCATGGGGCTAAATTCTGCATGGTCCTGTGATATTATCTGATAAGTTGGTGAGTAGTCAAACATTGTCCTGTTAATTCTGGAATGAAAGCATGGTCTTTAGTTTCTACCTTCTTCTAGAAGATTTGAATCCAGTGTTATTCTTAACTAGGTAGTATATTTATTTGTTAGACCTGTCATCTCCGATGTCATTTACAGTTTACCGTGGCTCCACACCTCTGTGCTCCTAGTTGGTTCTGATGTACCCTACCTAAATGAACTTGCTGGAAATTACTCCATTACTGCCCATATAGTCATTCTCATCATCACCATCATCATAACTAAAATTTATTAATTTTTTACTACATGCAAGGCACTATCTTCAGAGCTTTACATATCTTACCTCTTTTTATAACAATCCTACTACACAAGTTCTGTTATCACCATTTTATAGATGATAACCAAGGACTTCTGACTCCAGAGCCCATTTTAATAGGCTATGCAATAATGATCCCCACATTATCCTTATACTTCCAGCACTTTCCAAGGTAGTTTTCTGTAGAATATCCAGTAATCAGTGTCGATGAGTCTCTATTGCATAGTGGTTGTAAGCATAGACCCTGGCTTCAGAATACTGAAAATCTTCCAAAGTTCTAGTTCTTAGATGGGAAGGGGTGCCTACCAGAATTCCCTGGAGAAATTTTCTAAACAGAATGGCTCTCATTTCTCTCCCTTCCAGTTCCAAAAATGGAGCTGGGTGTGGGGGTAGTGACAGAACAAGATAAAACTGAAGACAAGGGCATCTGTACTACTGAAAAACTTCTCATGTTATTCTGTTTGCATCCAGTTTTTTAACCACTCTTGAGGTACCTTAGATTTTACATTGTTACTAAGAAAGACTGCATTGTCTTCTTGATCATTATGCTGGTAAAAGGAATTCACAGAAAGAAACTACAGATCAACAAGCGGATATACTTGCAGACTTTATATTGAAAACCATCAACAAACACAAATATTTGATGTACAACATCCTTTTCATTTACCCACCTGCTGACTCCAGAGTTCATAGTCCTGGTTCTTTCTTCATCAGCTGTTGTCTTTTCAAAAACCAAAGACAGGGCAGAGACCAATATTTCTGCACTGTGTTTGGTCTTTATTGTCAACCAGGGCAACAGAATGAATTGCAGACAAAGAATTTGGAAAGTGTGGCAAAGGCAACATTTTACAGTCACGCTGTATTGCAGTACAAAGAAAATTACACATTTAGTTTTTTAAAATGTTCTATGGTAACCACTTTTACTTAAAATCGAAATCCTAGAGATATGGTCCAAGGAACATAAATGGAGTTCTTACAAAATAATTGCTTAGAATTGGCAGACACAAAAGGAAAGTGTAGTTTTCCTAAGAAAATATTATTATTATTTTTAAGGATTTTATTTTTAAGTACTCTCTACCCCCGGCATGGGGCTCGAACTCACAACTCTGAAGTCAAGAGTCGCATGCTCCACTGACTGAGCCAGCCAGGTGGCCAGAAAATATTATTGTTAGAAAAGCATAAAGTGCATTCTAACAGGTGAGGGGTAATTTGACAAGACAGAACTAAGATATAACTAATGCTAAACATTCTGAATATAGATGCATGTAAATGTTTCTCCTAAAATAATTAGACGTGGTCAACTTAGGACATTATGGCTTTTATGCAATAATCATATTTGTTTTGTTTTTAGGTATAGTGAGAGATCAATGTGGTTTTTGGTCATACGTATTAAAAAGAAAGATCCAACCCTATTGCTTGAAGTAAGTCTTGGAAATTGACAATAGCAAATAAACTACTTAGGAATAGTTTAAAAATTATAATGGCCACTGTTTTGAATGGCCCTTGTTTATTTTGAGAAAGAAGATCTATTTTAAAAATGACTAGGGTTCTTATAGCTCTAGTCCTTGCTTTCAGACACAGTTCCTGGAAAGAAGACAGGTGAATCATTCAGGATGCTCTCAGTGGCTGCCATTTCAGATACCTTGAAAGCCAGAGAAACTTTCCCCATCCCTGTAAAAACCCAGTGACATTTTATAAATAGAAAGCCCACAAAACATGTTGATTTTAGAAGAGTTCATAATTTAGAATATTTTTATAGACATTCAAGAAAACAGGAGTCATTGAATAGATACTCTCCATATATGTGAGGCTGGAAGAATCCAGTTTTTATGAGAAAGGTGATTCCAATATCTTCTACACTTTACAATTCCAATTTTGGCTTGGGCGTATCTATCTATTTATCTACCTACCTACCTATGGACCTATCTTGCATTTTGGACAGAGTGCTAGGCAGGAGGTGAGCACTGTTTATAATCCACTCATGAGAAACACCTGTAGAAGCATACCCATGGCGCTCTAAAACCTGGAAAGAGAATGATTGTACACCGACGTACTGCCCTGGGTTACTAACCAGCCTCCGAATATCCCGTTCTGACTCCCACTTGATCTTCGAGATGGCTTCCTGGTGGGATTGATGCTCACTCCTAAGGTCCCCAGCCTTGATTTTATCCGCTTGGATCATATTGCTGAGAGCCTCGTCCACCTGCTTCTTGGCAGTTTTCAGGTCCGCAATTTCCTGTAAGAGCTTAAGGCGCTCTGCATCAAACAGTTTCCGGGCCTCCTCCCGGGCCTCAATGGTGAGCGCTGTCCTTACTTTGTCACTGCTGCCGTCCCGGAGAGCACACAGAGCCGACTTGAGCCTCTGGATCTCTCCATCCCGCAGCTTCACCGTCCTTGACATTTCTTGCTCATGCTGTTTGATGAGATTCTCCCTCACGGCCTGCAGCTCCTTCATCTTCTCCTCATGGAGCTTGGCTTTGAGTTCTGTCACCAGGACCGTGTGCTTGCGCTGCTCCAGCTCACGAATCCTCTTTGCTTCTTGAGTCTTCTCTCTTTCAAGCTTAGACACCTACAGGCAGAGAGGCGAAAGGACGAAACGAGGTGAGCCTCAAAGGAAAGGTGCTCCCAAGCAGGGTCTGTAGCTCAGAGCCCTGGGCTCCCCCAATTCCTCACCTCTCTGTGCTCTGAGGGGACGGAACCACAGGCCCCAAAGCTGGGAATATAGTGTGGGAAAGGAGGAGATACCTGGGGATGCTTGTATTATTTGGTGCAGACAGAATCTGATGTTTGGGGGCCTTACTATTCCATTGGTGGTCTGCAGACAACCAACACAGGAATCGCCCAGAAGCTTGTCAGAAATGCAGAATCCAGGGCTCCTTTCCAGACTTATAATCAGGACGTGCATTTTAACAAGTCCCCAGGTGATTGTATGCACATTAAAATTAGGACATAGTGCTATAACGGTTTTCACCTTGGTGGGGAGAAGTCCAAAACAGATCACCTGCAGAGCTTTTTAGACCACATATCCCTGGCTAGGTGCAAGCTGATAAACGTGGGTGTCTTAGGACCGTTCAGGGTTGAATATTATGATCAGACTAATAAAATGGTGCCCAAAGTGATATTATAAAATATTTCTCCTGCTTCCCCCTTCTTTTTTGGCTGCTGTAATGGGGGAAATGAAGCCAGCTGATATATATCCTCAACCTCACCTGTTTTTCCTATGGCAACTTAGTTCTACCTCCAAACATTATGCAGACACACACACACCAGCCCCAAACACTGCAGTTCACTGGGCCATCTCTCTGTTCGAGGGGTCTGGTGGCTGTTACTTCTGCATGCTCCACGGATGTCCCTTTGTGTCCTTCCCTGCCCCACTCAGCAACCTCTCCCGCTACCCCCACCAACTAACCCTCCAAGCAGTTTAATAAAGTATTCCTTCTAACCCTTAGACCTTTCTGGTATTTTGGTTAAACAAAATCTCCTGTGTTTTGCTTTATTTCTGATGATAATATGGGTCTCCTTAGAGATTAGCCATGGCACTACCTTAATCTGGTTGTGAGTCTGGCTCTGATTCAGTAGATCAGGGTGGGGCCCTGGCATGTGTAGCTTGGAGAAGCCTCTTAGCAAATGGTCTTTACTACTGTCCTCCTCCCCGCTCCTCGTCTCAGCTGCCTGTCTTTGTTTCTCTGCCTCTGTCATGTACCGTAGAATCACACACTCACTCTCTCTCTCTCTCACACACACACACACAGTCACCTGGAAAAAGGGAGGAATTAGGCAACCCCGGGAGTAATATTCGGTTCAGTGAAACTGGGTCTCTGACATTTGTAAAATCGGAAAGCTTCATGAAATAATTGTGAGGAGCCTCTCTGGCTGAAAAATGTTAAGAGGCTCTTGTAATTATCATGTAAAGTGTGTGAGATTCTACTTACCTTAACAGTACCTACCTTTGGCTAGAACAGGATTTTCTAAGTCCTCATGGCAATTTAATGAATATTTTATTTTAAAGGCACAGCAATTATTACCGCGTTGGTTATTCTTTTTTTTTTTTAAGATTTTATTTATTTATTTGAGAGAGAGAATGAAAGACAGCACAAGAGGGAAGAGGGTCAGAGGGAGAAGTAGACCCCCCGCTGAGCAGGGAGCCCGATGCGGGACTCGATCCCGGGACTCCAGGATCATGACCTGAGCCGAAGGCAATCGCTTAACCAACTGAGCACCCAGGCGCCCACCGCGTTGGTTATTCTAAAAGAACTTAGGGCACAAGGAGACTTGGGAGAATAAATGGGTATCCTTAAATGACTGTCTTTGATCTTGCCTCCAGCTTCGGCCAGGGTCCCTTCCTGGATGCTTATTATTACATATGCTCTAGAGCTGTGCTGTCCAATACGGTGGCCACTTGCTACAATGAGCATTTGGAATATCCCAAGTCTGAACTGAGACTTGCTCTAAATGAAAATACACACCAGATTTTGAGGTCTTAGTGTAAGGTAAAGAATGTAAAAACCTCAGCAATAATTTTTATACTGATCCCGAGATCACTACCTGAGCTGAAACCAAGAGTCAGATGCTTAACCAACAGTACCACCCAGGTGCTCCAGTAAAGCCCAGTTCTGATCCAATTTATGTACTTGCTCAAAAATCACCCAGGGCTCCTTTATGTTGTGGAGTAAAACCCCAACACCTCAGCTTTGCCTTTCCGGCTCTCAGAAGATTTGGTTGGACTCCCAGCTCCCATTTCTGTTTCTCCCTGTACCTCTCCTCACCTGTCCCGCGCTGCAGGCCCCGGGGCTTATGCTTTTCCCTGGCTTATACTTTTCCCTGCACACGCCCTGAATCTCTGTACCTGTATGCCTACGGTTTCCTCTTCCTGACCTGCCTTTCCCTCAGCTTCCTTTGGGATCCTCTCATCCCTCATGGCCAGCTAGATGTCGCCCTCTCCACTCATGCCACCCCTGACCACCAAATGAGGACAAACCTCATTTCTCCTTGCCTATGTCTTTTCAGGGCACTTTGCTAAAACCTCCTTACTGCTCCTTTCCACATTTTTCTTTATGCCATGCTTATGGTTTTTTGTATGCTTGTCTGTCCTCATCACCTCTTCTCCTGCTCCTACTCCACGCTGCAAACTGCTAGAGAGCTGCCGATGAGCCTTGTTCATCTTTGTCTACCCAGTAGTTGCCAGCACAGCACATGATAAGGAGCCCGAGTGTGTGTGCAATTAAAGAAGGTATGCCAGTATGTTTCCCTAGCTAGCCCTCTAACCAGAGGCAAGACTAATATATCCTGTCATATAGCTTAGAGAACACAGATCTGTAGGGTTTTCTAGAGCAACCCCTTTTCCTAGAGCATCCATCCCTTCCCAGGGTACACCATGCACATGTAAGAATGCCTGTCCTCTACTCGATATTTCTCTCAGTGCTTCCGTAAGGACAATATAAATCTTACTCCCCATTTTTCTAGATTAAACTCTAGTGAGTATCTTCTACCATGGGTGGGCAAACCATGACCCATGGAACAAATACTTTCCCGCCTCCATTTTTGTGAATAAAGTTTTATTGGAACACAGCCATGCTCTTCTATTTACATATTGCCTACAGCTGCTTTTATGCAACAATGGAGTTAAGCAGTCTCAGAGAGACTGGCCCACAAAGTCAAAAATATGCACTATTTTGCCCTCTACAGAAAAAGTTTGCTGATTTCTCTTCTAATAATACAGTTTTTGTGAAAAAAGAGGCCTTATTTTTCACTGATTTAGGAACTCTGATAATTTACTTTGCATCCACACCTTGGGAAAGTTAACTCTAACTCAAGTAATAGGAAATTAGCCATCATCAATTTCAGCAGCATGTATTTACATTAGGCATTTGCAACAGTATCATGACTATAGGGCTGTCAGGTAGCAAATTACTAAGGGAAATTTTATCAGTTCTTCTGGGAACGATAAAAAACTGGTAAAAATGGACAACAGATAAGGAATTCTGGGTTTACATTTTGATTTCACAGTCTGCTATATCTAAGAAAGTTGCTTTATCCTTCTGAGGCTCTTTGATTACACTTAAAAACTACCCATAATGGGATTATTCTTAGGGTTAAATTAGCTAATGCATGGAAGAGAACCTTGAGCTGTAAAGTACTATGAAATGCAAGGTAATATTATTACTGGATATAAGAGGAGATATTCATGACCCGAAATTATTTATGTCAAATTCTTGACAGGCACGTTAGACTGTTTCACTCTGTGATCCTGTCATTTCTCTCAAATTATAAGCACTGATCTTTTGCATATACACTGGAGATGAATGAAAAAGAAAAAAATGAAAATACAGATGTATGGAAAATATATCCCAGCCTGAAGATAAAAACAAATACAAACACTGGCCTTCTTGTCCATCACTTAAAGGAATCCACAGAACCCAAAGAAAATTCAAAGGCACTGATTGATTACATTTGGCATTTTTCATGTCTGCTTTTTTTGGTTGCCATGGAAACTGGCATTTTTGCAGGATTTCTAGGTATGACTTCTTTTTTAAGCTTGGGAGAAGTGTTTCACTACGAAGGAGACACAAAGGATGTGACTGACATTTGGGAAGGAAAAAAGCCAATTAAAATTTTTGTAGTAAAACTGTTTTCTGAAAATTATTTGCAGCTCAGATTATACCAGTAAGAAAATAGAATTTACTATCTTAATGTAAATCATACACAAAAATAGAAAGAACTACTCCTGACTAACAATGAAAAATATAAAGATAATACCTGAAGTGGAAAAAAATACTTAGTAGAAGAAAGAATCAATTTTGATAAGTGGAAATGTTTCTCTGAAACATTTCTGCTGGATCACATAATAGCGTTTATTGAGGGCTTACTGTGAGTTACACAGCTTTCTAATGGCTTCACAAACATCACCGCATTTACCCTTGGCAGCACTGTGATGTAGGTAGTATCTGTGCATCAGAATCTCAGATGAGAAAGGTGAGGACAAGTCTCTGCCCAAGCACAGCGTGAAGAAGGCTCCTTAGTGCCCAGCATGGGCCAGGAGCCGAGTTTGGGTCAGGTCCCAGGCCTCCCTGTGCACTTTTTAAAAAAATTTGTTAATTATTTTATTTTAATTAATTAATTTATTTATTTATTTTGGGGGGGAGAGAAAGCACGCGAGCACACACACTAGCTGGGGGAGGGGCAGAGGGAAAGGGAGAAGCAGACTCCCTGATGAGTGCGGAGCCTGACTCGGAGCTCTTGAGGTGCTCGATCTCACACCCTGAGATCATGACCTGACCCAAAACCAAGAGTCGGGCTCAACCAACTGAGCCACCCAGGTGCCCCCTCCCTGTTCATTCTGAAACCTCTGGCAAGCTGTTCACGTCCCCCAGCCTCCATTTTCTTATGTGTAAACTGGGATTGGGGGTCTCATTGTCATATGGTCATGGTGAGGGCTGACTTAGATAATGTATCAAAAGTCCTTCAGAAAGGCTGGAACACCTAGGAGATTAATAATTATTAATACATGGTTAAATAGTACAGTATCAATTTTGATGAATATTGGCAACATATTGATATTTTTATATCATG